AGTAGAGAAGCTGCATATCTGATGTATAATCTTTTGTCTAGAAATACAACAGCATATTCCCAGACAGGACAAAAAGTCCATAAATCTTTTACTATTAAAGGTCTTAAAACAACCAATACATAAAAAGCAATACAAATATCAATTTCTATAGGTTAAAAATATATCAGGTGTGATGAACAGATGAACATGTAATTCCAGTATTGCTCGGCTAGGATTTTTTTCTCATTATCCCTGCATCAGCCTATGAAGTCCTATTTCAATAATTATTTGACTTGTACTTTCTACAGAAAATTAAGGTTTTCTTGTAATCTGAACTATTACACTTTTGAGGTAGGTAAAATCATTATTTTTGCATAGGATTATACCATGTCGTGTGCAATCAGGCTCTGGAATTTCAATGTCAGTCCAGGGATCTTTAGGGGCCTATTATTATCTAATGTCATCCTTACTCCTCCTACATATTTAGTGGAGGCAACTTTTTTTTGCATATGATTAGCTATTTCTTGTAATTTTGCGATATTATCTCTCCAAAGACTACCCAAGAGCTCAAATTTGAAAGGATGTGGTTTCTTTAGAAAGTTTGTCAATGACTGAAAAATTCCCATACTTTGCAATTAAGAATGGATGACTACACAATGGAGTAAGGACGCTTATAACAGATAACAATTTCCTTTATGAATGCGACTTGTAGCAGGTTTATTCTCATTTGACTCTACTATTCATTCTTGCTTAGATGATGCACCTTAATTAAGCTTGACATGTATATTACCAATCATTATAATTATGCTTTAGATGCTGCAATGCATCTTAATTGCTAAATAAGTAATAAGGCCATTCGAATATGTTTTTCTATGTTTAGCGTCCACGTGCACCTTGATTTTTGATACCCCATATCAGAAAAAAACAAACAAAATCAGGAGCCCTAAAATTGATTATTTTGGTTGAAATCTTTTAAATTCTTTTAATTATATCAATTTCTGTAAGTATTTGTCTACAGTAAATCATATTACGCTTATTTTAAGCATTTAATACATTGATTTTAGATTAACGAAATCAAATGCTTTGAATGGCATCATTTTTAAGACTATGAAGTCTGTGTTTTATTTTTTGGGGTTGTGTGTTTTTTGCGAATAGGTAGGTTTTAAAGATGGATGGACACTAAACAGAGAAAAAACTTGGAATGGCCTTAAAGGTAAATGTTTTTTGGAGCAGATCCATTCATAAGAAACCATGAGTCCTACTCTTACCAACCTTGCATAATTGTTGCATTGTGGATCAAGTTTTGAAGGCTGTGCCTTAGTTTTACAACGTCTTTATGATGTCAAGGTGATATTGTTCTTCTTTATGAAGCTTGCATGGTAATTTAACAAACTTATTTTTTAAAAAGATAGGTGAGCTAGTGCTGTGGCCATTATAAAATACAGAGGTAGATTTCTGAACCACTGGTTTACTTTGCTGAATTGATTCATTAAGTAACATATAGGAAGACAGTGCTGCACAAAGGGTGGGGGGTGGTCCTCAATTCAGAATTATAGTAAAACTTGAGTGGGATTCTCATTGACAATGGCATAACAGTGTGTAAAGCATTCAATCATTCACTGTAATTTCAATACTGAGGGAGGAAATACGATAGTTTTAAAAGAAATTAGTAGAACCAATGAGCACCTAGTGTGCAATGGCATCTTGGGCCTTTCCGACAAGCTCAGAAAATCTTGACATCAACGGATGTGTACATTTTGTACCTTCAGTTGGATAATGTCTTCACACTCTGAATCACTAAATGTGTCTTAGTAAGCAAGGTATACCAGCATATCTATGTCAACATTAACAGTTTTCTGCCATTAGCACACAATTTTTACAAATTATACTTTAAAACAATTATCACCCCTTTATTACAGTACACAATGTCATTAGGCCAAGGATAGAGTATAAAATATACAGTAATATGGATTGCAATTTAACTCTTTAGCACAGAGGGCTCAATGTTAAAAGAAAGGAAGTACAGGCTATTTTTTGCCTAAATCCATGAAATCTTGAGGCCATTTGATCAATGCAAACATCATTTTTCTTAATGTGGTAACATAAATATTTAAGGATCAATGTTGCTTATTGCTGAGTCTCTTTGTCATTATGCCATTTTCTCTGTTATTGGGAGAGTTTGCTGTCCCTCTTTGATTTAACTGTATTTTTGGAATCATTTTTCTTGAATTTTCATCTGTTGTTATAAACTATCTTATAGTACGTATTTTTGGTTGGTCCAATTGAAATTTTTTTCCTCAATCAAGCAAAATCTTGTTTACAAACTACGAGTGCTTGTATTTGAAGAACCAAGATGAATAGGTTTTTTCCCCATGGCTGGTAAACACTAACAAGAGGCCCATGGGCCACAACACTCACCTGAGTAACTTTGGCCTTACTGTTTTTCACCTGACCCCCCCCCCCCACCTTGTAATACCTATTGTGGCCCTGCCTTACCCTCAGGGGTTATGATTTGAATAATTTAGAATCTACACTATCCCAGGATGCTTCCACATAACTTTCAGCTTTTCTGGCCCAGTGATTCTTGAGAGGAAGATTGATTTTTAAAGATTTTTTCTACAGATTTCATTGTAAAACTTGGACTCCCTATTGTGGCCCCTCCCTACCCCCAGGGATCATGATTTGAACAATTTAGAATCTACACTACCCCAGGATGCTTCCAAATAACTTTCAGTTTTGCTGGCCCAGTGGTTCTTAAGAAGAAGATTTTTAAAGATTTTTTCTACAGATTTCAATGTAAAACTTGGATTCCCTATTGTGGCCCCTCCCTACCCCTGGGGATCATGATTTGAACAATTTAGAATCTACACTACCCCAGGATGCTTCCACATAACTTTCAGCTTTGCTGGCCCAGTGGTTCTTAAGAAGAAGATTTTTAAAGAGTTTAAACTCCCCTTCACCCAAGAATGCTTTGTACCAAGTTTGGTTAAAATTGGCCCAGTGGTTCTTGAGAAGAAGTTGAAAATGTAAAAAAAATTACAGATGGATGGACAAATGGAAAGACGGACGTGACAACGGGTGACCAGAAAAGCTGATGCCAATCTGATTCACTGAAAATACCCAGCAGAAGGGATTTATAGAATACTTCATGTTAATCTTATCAATCTTTATGCATATCCCTTACACACATATTTTATGGGGAAGTACAGTAAAACATAGTTATAGCAATCATGCTTGTAATGAATTCACTCTCACAGTGAAGTAATTTTCATTCCCTGTGGTTTTAAAAAGTGTTTTGAACTGAATGGATATAATGAATTAGGTCTATAACAAATCAAAATTGTTGGTCCCTGGCACTTGGCTATTATACATATATTACATGGCTTCCAGGGCAACATACCAGAATATTTGCCCGAGGTGACAGGAAAGCCCTGGTGTGTTATGTCGCCCCGGGGCCATAAAACTTAGACGGGCTCACTTTTGATCTCAGTCTCACTTTTCCACTATTAATTTCTTTGATAAAAGTGAGACTGAGATCAGAAGTGAGCTCGTCTAAGTTTTATGGCTCCAGGGCCAGGGCTTTTCTGTTAAAGAGGGGCAAATATTCTGGTATTATTGCCTGAGAAGTCATGTAATATATGGTATATAACATATTTTACTGTATACGGGTAGTCAATATTTGAGTTAATATACATGTAATCCAGAAAGAACATTATTTTACCAAATCTTCAATTTGAGCCTGACATAGTTAAAAACTTGGGTCAATGCCACTGCTCATTTTTTTTTTTTAATACTTAAAGTAAAAATGACATAGGTGCAATAGAAGCTAGATTAGAGGTGACAACAAATCATCTTTACTGATTTTTACATTTGATCATTTTATTTAGAAACTTTGTCAAAAAATCACTTCTCCCCCCCCCCCCCCCACCCCACCCCCAGCTGAATATAAATGATATTGAACCAAGGAAAGAAAATACTACATAAGTGCAGGGGGCAAACTTACAAACTGATCACTAAAAGGGAAAGGTACATGTACATAAGGAAAACATCTGAATATTGTTTTTAATTAAAGAAGCTTTAGTATCATTATTTATACAGTCAAACCTCATTATCTTAAACTCGATGGGACTGAGAAAAAATTTCCAGATATCCAAGGATTCGAGATTTCAAGAGTAAAATACTTCAAGATTTAAAGTGGTTGGGACTTCCAAATCACTTCTACATATCCATGGTATTCGAAATATCAGTGTTCGAGATACCACAGTTCAACTGTATTATTATGACTATCCATTGTACCAAGAGTGCAGTTATTATCACACTGGCTGTTTTCAAGGTTACACAGACAAACCAGATCAGTTGAAGTGTTAAATAGAAATACCTTTTGCATTGTTGTAAAACCCACATTTGGTCTCAATGAATAAGACTATCTGTGGGTTTTGGACAATGTACCTTCTTCTGATGGTTTAAGAACTCTGAATTATATTTACAGTGTTTGATTGACATAACAGCTTTCAATTTCAGTAAAATTTTATTCTATTCAAAATTCATGAAACTATGTTTCCAAAATGAGCAGAGAACAACAGGTATCAAATTATATCATTTATAAATAAGGAAAGTTGATAAGCTTGGGATGAGTATATGATTTTTTCCCCATTTTTGTTTTATTTGGAAAGTTTCATTTGCATTAAATTGAGATCCCATATGATACATAATTGTATTCAGTAACATTTATCACAATCCTAAAGACAAAGGTTTTTACAAAAATATAAGAATGCCACAATAATGGAATAATACCCCCAGAGACAAAGCACTGATTTAGTCATTCAGTATACCCTAGCTTGTTTTTCATCAAATGCATTACAGGGCATTGACAACTCATTATCACTCCATTCATTGATTTTCATTTGAGAAAGGAATGCTCATAAACAAACAAGCTATTTATGACCAGTTTCCAAATATGGATGTTATTTTTCAATTAAATGCTGGATATTTATAACATTACCATACCAAATACAGAAACTTTACCTGATAGTTTTGGGCAAACTTGTGACATCTAACTTGTTTTCTAAAATGCACAGTTTACATAGGGTTGACAATGAGGGAGCTGAAAGAAAAAAAAAACAAGGTTATATTATTTCATTTCAATGTCAAATACGAGGGTTGTCCGGTAAAATCATGGACAAAGCGTTTTTCTCCAAAAATAATGGGCACTGAAATTTTCAGCAAATGTTTATTCATCATATTTAAGTACATCTCAATTTTTTTGATAAAATATAGACAAAAATAAAGATTTTATTATGCTTAAATGTGCACAATTGGTATGATCAAAAAACCAGGGTTTGATTAGCGAATACACAAGTATTATTGAAATAAAAGTATAAAATAGATAAGGTTGGGGTAAAAATTATCCTAATATTTTTTTATCCACTATCTATTATTTCGTCTTTTGTAAAATATCAAGGCATTTGCTTAATTTTTGGCAGTTTCTGGAGCATTTGAAATGGGAAAGTGGTAAACGCAACACAAAAAAAAAATGGTGACGTTTGGTGACGTTATGGCACACCGAAGAGCAGTTCAGTTTGATTTAGATGTAGTAATGATGCCCTAAGAAACTTTAAATGACTACAGAAGAAAAAAAAAATTTAACTAGATCTTTAGTATACAAGTGAAATTGGAGTTTTCTAATGGGAAGCTTTTTGATTGGGTCCCTGGCTAGAACAAAACGTACGGACAAAAGCAAAAGACGCTGTCATTGTAGACCGTCGATATAAGATAGCCTATTTAGTTGAATGATAGTGAGAGTACTGTCCATAACTTACTAATAAATCTTCAGAAGGTTCCATGTGTGTGCGAGATTGGTTCCTCGACTGTTTATGGAGGAATAAAGGGAAACTCAAGTATGTGCATCTATGAAATTTCGGGCTTATCCAACTTTTTTTTGGAAAGAGGAAATGTGACGCTGCTTTAGACACTTTGATGTTATCATCTGTGCACCAATAACACACATAACATAAAGTCTCATAGTTTGTTTATTTGAGCATATATCTTTTTGAAATTTGCTATGTATATGTACTTTGATGAAAAATGTACTAAAAAGTAGTGAAAATTTTAGAACACAGTGATGATTATTTTTCACTCTAGACAACTTGTCCACGATTTTACTGGACAACCCTCATACTTTTTAAGATGACTTAAGTTTATTGTAATTGATAAGGAAATTAAAGGTATTCCTGGCTACAGCTTCCTGTTACACACTGAAAAAGTAAAACTAATACTATAAATTGAAAAGGAAACCTGCCAATTATACATTTTTTTTTACAAAGATAATTTATTAATAAATTAAACTAGCAAATTCCAAGAATTTTCAGTATCTTAGTGGATTGGATGCAATTATTTATGGCATATTGTAACTGTCTTGTTTATGTGTCCTGTCTTGTCTTGGCATCATGCAAAAAGACAAAAATTATTGAATTATTAACAGTTATGGCAAAGATTATAGCTTCTCAAAAGTACCCCAGTACATCAAACTTCAAGATCAAGGTCATAAGGTCAAAAATATTGTAATACAATTCAGAAAGTCTTTTTTGCAATGTAGCAGTAATGTTGAACTCCCAAAAGGTCATGAAAACAACCTTAAAATAAAAAGGCCCATGGGTCACAATGCTCACCTGAGTCACCTTGGCCCTGCTTTTTGTAAGAACACTGACCCCACTCTTAAAACTCTGGAAGGGCATGATTTGAACTAACTTGAATCTAATCTACCTCTGGATGCTTGATTTTTAATATAACTAATCTTGACCATGCTGTTCTTCACAAGATTTTTTAAAAATTTAAAGATTTTTTTTCTTTGATTCTGTATTGTGGTCCCATCCTACCCCTAGGGGTCAAAAACTTGAATCTACATGACCTGTCAATGTTTGCATATTTTAAAAATCTAATCCTTACCCTATTATTCATGAGAAGATTTTTCTCTATATATTCCCATATTAAACTTTGAATACTAATTACGTTGCCCACCCCCCTCCAGGGAAGGGGGTGGGTTTGAATAAACTTAAATCTACTCAACTTGAAAATCCTTATGTAATAATACAGGGTTCTTCATTTGTTCAAATTTAACCACAAAGGAAGCTGGATGAAAATGAAATGCTCAAGTACATGTTTGACCTTCCAGATTTCACTTCATCAATGGCTGATTTCACAATTTCTTTTCATAGTAACTATAGCAATTTTGTTGGTAAAACAAAAAACCACTATAGAGAATTCTGCATCTTATTTTAGTGTACAACTGCATCAAGCTTTATTGAAATCAGACCAAAATTATTTGGAAAAATAGCATTATGAAAGAACTTCACCAAAAAATTCTATTTTAGTAACCATGGCAAGACCGTTCTTTAAGATCAAAAACTGTTAAATAGAATTATGTGGCTGAGTTTAGTCTACTTGTGTACCAAGATTCATTGATTTTAGTAACCATGGCAAGACCATTCTTTAAGATCAAAAACTGTTAAATAGAATTATGTGGCTGAATTTAGTCTACTTGTGTACCAAGATTCATTGAAATTTAACTAAAACTGAAAGCATAGCAGCATTTTGAAAGAAAAAATGGTTTTAGACACACAGACAGACTTAACATCTTGATGATGACCTACTGTATGTGTATATATAACTGTATTTTCTATCTTTTTTCTTGATTTTTTCTATTACACTGAGTTATCTCACTAATTTTTCCTCCATAAGTCAGGAAGCTTTCACATAAGTTTCATCTTTTATGATTCAGTTGTTCTTGAGAAGATTATTTTTTGACACCCATCCTATCAGTGGGGGTCTTTGATTTTTCTTGGTTATCTCCCCTTTCAAGAGGACATGCCCCTTTATTTGAACAAACTTAAATCTCCTTTATCTAAGAATACTCTATGCCAAGTTTTATTGAAATTGGCACAGTGGTTTTGAAGAAGATGAAAATTGTGAAGAGTTTACAACAATGATAAAAATTGACAATAAATTTAGACCAGAAAAGCTCACTTGAGCCTTTTGCTCAGGTAAGCTAAAAAGAAGGAGAAATCTTGCTATAGAAAATGAATCTTGACTACTACAATTTCATGAATAAACAAGATAAATCCACAGGCACTTGGGGTATGGACCCCCCCCCCCCCTTTTCCATTTTTTTTTCTTTTTAAATCTGGGGTCGAGTCACCTTTTTCCTATTTTATATTCTAATATGCACTGTATGTTATCAATAATGTAACTCTTTTATCTCTATAAGCTGTTTTTAAATATATCATTTTCGACTCTCCTTTTATGTATTAGTCGAAAACGATATATTTAAAAACAGCTTCTAGAGACAAAAGAGTTACATTATTGATAACATACAGTGCATATTAGAATATAAAATAGGAAAAAGGTGACTCGACCCCAGATTTAAAAAAGAAAAAAAATGGAAAAGGGGGGGGGGGTCCATACCCCAAGTGTCTGTGGGTAAATCAGGGAATTTATGTCCCTGGCTTAAGGACAAAAATTAATTCAAGATATCACCCAGAAATATACAAGTTTTTGAACTTGACCTTTGACCCTTACATCTCAGAATCAATTGGGGTTAGTTATAGGCAGTATTGAAGTTAATTTGGAAACCATTTTATTCCATACCATATGTGAACTTATGACCTTGACCTTTGTCTTCAAAATCAATAGGGTCTTTCACAAGTCAGAGTGAGTCATCACCTAAGTTTCATTGCAAAAGCAAAGTTATAATCTGGAAAACATTTTATGAAATACATGAATATATGAATTTCTGATCTTGGCCTTTGACCTTTTGACTTCAAAATCAATAGAGGTCTTCTTAAAGTCACAGGATATAATGTTATGAAATTTTACTGCAAAAGCTATAGAGCTTTTAGATATATCATTCAGAAACTAAAGTGAGTTATTTTATACCATATTTACATGTAACTTGATGATCTATTCATCTTTTGGATCAAAATCAATAGGGGTCTTTGAATTTTCAATTAGAGAAAGTCATCACCTAAGTTTTATCGTATTAGCTCAAGGAGCTTAAGACCATTATATGCAACATATGAATTTCTGACATTAACCTCTGACCTCAAAATCAATAAGGATCTTTTTCAGGTCATAGGGAGTAACATGTACATGTATATGAAATTTCATTTCAAAAAATTACTTTTATAAATATCTAAAAATGAAAATGCTACAGACAGACAGAAATATGGACTGATTGGCAGACCAACAACCCATATTAACCCCTGATTATAGAGAAGCAGGGGAAGACAAATCTGAAATTAATATACATGTATTGTGTTTTTCTTCAAAGTTCTTATTGTAGTGTCCTTGTCACATTTGAATGTGCCCCAAATGATTTTCATGTGAAATTCATGTGAAAAAACACAAGTTTCACACAACAACTTCCTGTCATGTGAAATTAATATGATGGAATTGTCGTGAAATTCATTTTAGTGCTCTGTTCACATGACTCTCAAATGAAAAATTTCAGGTAATACTGTAAAAGCAGAAATATTCATTGGGGATTAAATTTCGTTGTTAACAATTATCAATGAAATTAAATACCGCAAGAAATTTTTATATGACTACCAGTATATATTGAATAGGATTACTTTCGAAACAACAAAATTAAATCCCCACAAACCTTATTAGATGACAAATCAAGGAAATTTTATCCCCACAAAAATTTGTGCTTCTACAGTATTCACACAAGTCTCATACTGTGTAAGTTGGCCCCTATTATGAGATGAAAACTAAATCAGAGATGACATCATGGTAATAACCAATATAATGGACCTCAGATGACAGCTTTGTTAAAATGAGTATTCATTTAATGATTTTATTTAAATGCTTTTTATGATCTTTGTATGCCATCATTAAATCTCTAATATTCATATCGTCAAAGGTGATTTGCTTTGAACAAACGTAATTTGAGAGTTATCGTACACCTGCAATGAACAAAATTGTGCCCTTACATGTATGTAAGTACAGGTTCTTTTTTTTCAAATTTAAAGCATAGCTCTTACAACTTTGGATATTTCCTCAATTCCAATATATGTTACTCAAGAATATAATAGAAGGGAAACTGGTACACAGGTATATTTGATCCAAAACTCTTTCTCGTGAGAAACTAAGTTGTCTAATCCTTCCCCCCCCCCAACACAAACACACAATCAATAAATTTTTGTATTTAAGGATCCACTAAATTTGACAGATAGCTAATTTATATGGATGGAAAACTTACAAAAGTCCAGAACATGAAGATCTGAATGATCAAAGAGATCACCTTCTGAGGGTTCACTGCTCTCTATGTCGGCTGGGCTACAAAGAACACATAACATTAGAATACAAGAACCATAGCATAATCTACAGAAGAAGAAAAAGTTTTAAAATGGTCCCATGTAGAAGTCTATACACCCAAATACTATGACTGTAAAAATGTGTATATTTGAATTTTTTTGAGACCAAAACTTCAATACGAGTGAATTTACTGTGCATCACATTTCATTCACAAGAACTTCCTTTGAATGAAATTTCACAAAATTAACTTGTAATAAAGATAAAGTTCTCATTAATAACACTGGGAAGTAACTCTAATAACTCAGTAAGTTCAATAATATTTCTCACAAATAAATACTAAGCTCTTTTCACTTACAAATAAAGTCATGCAAAATATGTTTATATATACATGATAAAAATATATGGAAATATATCCCAAAAATCAGTATAAACCACATAAGGTCATTTTAGTACAATGTTTACTGTGTTACATTACCCAAAGCAATAAAAATCATTTTAGATGTGCTATGCAGATAAAAAAAAAATCACCTTGTTCCTCCAAATAAATAAACTTTGTCTCCTATCACACAACAGCACTGTCTTCTTCTTGCTGAGGGACCTTGACCTTTAACCTTTATCATTGACCAATGCATTCGAACTACAAAGAGTTTACATCAAAAGAAATTGAAAAATGAAGTGTCATCGATATTTATATTAACTTGTACGAAATAATTGCCACTGAATCAATTATATCTTACCTGGATCAAATCTGAAGATGTCTCGGAAATGCAAATCATGGAGTCCATTATAACCACCAAATATATACAGATTTCCTTTGTACACAACTGAAAAATCCACACACACAAAAAAATGTTATATATCATTTAATGAGCTGCAAGATAAAATATTTTAGACAATTGTTTTTGTTTTTTGTAATGTATGTGCTTTTAATATTTCAACATTATTTTCTGTATGAAGACTTCAATCACAGCTATAAAAACCCTTTAAGTGGCTTGGTCCTAAAATCATTATTATAAATCAGTGATTAAATGTTCAACGTAGAAAATAAATTATTAAAAATGCATTGCTTTGACACTTATGCTTTTTCCTTTAAAGTGGCCACTTTGAGTCTTGTAATGTCTGTTTTTCTCTCCTAAAACCTGCAGATTAAAACTTACATGCTGAGTGACTCCGCCTCCCAATGGGTTGAATCCCTGATGTCACAGGTTCCATCCATGTAGACGTTGATGTATCAAATATCTGAATTTTATTGCAGTATATTTCATGATTGGTAAAGATTTCACCCCCGTAATCACTACGACCCCCAAACACATACATCAGATTTCCTAATCCTGTTGCTGTGTGAAAGTCCCTCCAACGAGCTGGGACCCCCTTTCACAATAAAAATAAAAAAACACATAGTCAGAAACATTTACTAAAAACTACAATTTCAAGCACAAATCTGATTAGTACTAATTGGATATACTGATGCCTTGACTTTCAGGGTCTTTCTGACAAATCTGTTTACTAGTATATATATATTAATTTTGTCATTTATCTCAATATTCTTTTGCATAATAGATAATCATTAAAATTCTGAAAATATATACCTTTACACAAATTGGTTCCCATGAGAATGTGTTCATATGTAAACAATGGATTTCATTTGAAAAACGGTCAATCTGAAATGAATAATTCAGCATAAGAGTGTTTATAGACTTTTAAAATCTATGGATGGACATTTCATTAAAACCACATACCAGCAGAGACTTCATAGTCTGAATGTAAAATAGTCTCTTTCAAAATAAGTCTGATCATTTTTAAATTGTTTAAAGAGCAAGGTAAATTTATAAAAGTGACCTGACCAGTGTCCTGGTCTGAAAGACTTTTTAAAATTATTTAAAAACCTGAAATGTACAGAGTTCAGAACATATCAAGATAAATTCTTATATAGTTTAGAATCAGCTCATAGCTATTTCTTCATTTTTCAAACAAAATTTACTGTATGTGTAATTAAAAAAGCGGGCTTCATATTTTAGCGGCTTTGGTGCAGACAGCGATGCGCTATTCCATGATAACCATTAATAAATGAATTCAATATGATGTTTTTCATTCACTTGCTTCGATCTGCCATTTTATCAGGCCTCGAACATCTAGCCCGATTTAAGTTGTTATCTATTTCACCAGGCAATAGGCCTATATAAATGTATGTAAATATATACCCATGTTTAATGTGATTTATTTTCACTTTTAATTTAAATTCAATTTTAATATAAAATGGGTTATCAACACTTGCATTGTCACTTGGACCATTCAGTACACATACAGTAATTTCTTCTTTCTTTAGCTCATTCAAAATATTGAAAATATTGCCCAACATATTAGAAGCTATCTGCACTGTTATTGATTGAATGATACATGTGGCTCTGACTCTCACCTCTTCTTCATATCCACCAAATATATACATTTTATTCCCTATAACACAAGCTGAATGACCATCTCTAGCATTAGGAATGTTTCCTTTAACCACTGGCTTTGACCACTTCAAGGTAGCTTAACACCAAAAGAGAAAAAAATACTGATGTGCATTTTTAAGTATAGGATAAAAATAGCCCTACCCTTGGGCCTGAAACCTAGACCCATGGGACAGGAATTTCACAATGTTGGTAAAGAGCTAGTTGCTCATTATACATGTACAATAATGCCAAAAATTTGCCTGTTAAATTTTCAGGAATATAAATGAAGAGGAAGATGTTTAATTTTTTACTAGTGATGTAAGCTGTTTTACATGGTATATCACATACATAGAATATCTTAAATTGCCCTTGAAATTTTATTTGCTAGCAAATAACCAAATGTAATGTAAAAGATGAAGATAACAAACAGTGATCAATCTCATAAATACAGTAGACAAAAGGAATCGAGAAAAGGGCAAAAACAAGGACCCCTGGAAACACCATAGATGGGATCAGGTGCCTAGGAGGAGTAAGCATCCTCTGTTGACTGGTCATACCCACCATGAGCCCTATGTATTGATTAGGTAGACCGAGTTCTCAGTTATCAAATTTAGTATAATGATCTAACAAATGGTATGAAACAGTTCAGACAAATTACAACTCAATGATAAGTTGTATTTACAAACAAGGTTATTATAACAACTGTAGAATTTGCAATTAGCTGACTTTAAACAGGGTTATACATTGAAATCCTAGTGACATCAACTTTTTTGTCAGTAGCTTGCCTCAGTTTAACCCAGAGCATGCTCTTGGGAATTGAATCAGTTGGGAGACATAAATACCATATGCAAGTAATGTTGGAATATTACTACATAAATAAGGAAGTTGACGATACAAAAGCAATGTCTAAATGAATGAAAACATCTGAAATGCTTTCACTATCCAATACCAAAGTTTCTATTAGTTAACAAGAACTTATGTTGTAGTGATTTAATTTTCATCTCTTTTTTTTATTTGAAGAAAATTTTTTCCAACCTTTTGATTATTCTAAAGTATATGTATTTCTTACCACTGTCAAATTCATACAAAATGTTACAGGCACCATCCTTGTCATTTCTGCCTCCCCAAATGTAGGCACTGTACTGGTACCCCACACACGTGTGTCCATACCGCTGATAAGGGACATTATCCTGGTCCTCAGCAAGGGGTATCAGTGTCCATCGCAAGGATACTATAGCAAAACAAAGAAAAAAAACATCAAAAATCAAATTTTATATGTGTAGTAGGAAAGGAGGAATGAATAAAGAAAATATATGACTGGACCAGGAATCTAACCCAAGACCCCTGAGTCACTATTCAGGTGCTCTAACCACTGAGCTACCCAGGCTGATATACACTGTCCATAAGCTACTTCACTCTACACATGTAAAGCTTTCTTCATCAATTTCTTACCACTATTGCCAAACCCCCTAACTCTGTCCCTACCCTATCTCTGTCCCTTTCAGGAAACTCTGCACTGTTTTGTAATTAAATGCGATTGTGATGTCATTTTTTACATGCTGAAAATCTACAATCAAATGCCAAGAAATTATTACAGTCAAGTTCAACAATGCATCAAAAATAAATAACAATTACACCTGATCTATTGTATCTATCATATTTCATGTGGAAATCAGTAAGCACTTTTTCCTTTATGCACTATTCCATCGATACCTCCGACACATGCTTCAATATGCGCTTTTTTTACATGTCAGTCATATTTATGAAGGTCTTTACCAAAGGATTAATATGACACACCATATTGTTTAAGGCTAAATATATTTCATTTTTCGTCTCAATTTACCCTAATACATGCTACACGTTGGAGATAACGTAACGTGATGTTATTACATATAAAATACGCTATATTAAATAAATGTTATTTTTTCTGTTGTTGAAAATTTTCCTAAAATACAATTTAATACTATTTTAAATCTTCAAAACTAATTTTCTATGTTTACAACTTTAAGCTGAAGGGAGAAAAAACTAAACTGGAAAAAAATGTCTGATTAATACATTGTCATATTGTAGAGGGCCCTGGTGATGGAGTTAGGGTTCATTGGACGTAATTAATGTACACGGATGTGATACACATTCTATATACAGTAGTTTTGTATAAGCCCAATAACTGAATTTTTTGTTAGATAGTTTTGGAAACAATGTTTAAGTTCATTACTAAGTGTAGCAAACAAGAAACAAATCAAAAAATAATTCAGAGAGTAACCTGGCATGTTTTTCACTTATGGTGACAGAGTTTGGGCAGTAGGGGATACCAGTAAATAAGTATGCCGTCAACATGAAAATTTCTTTGGCTAAATTTTGAGAATTTTAAATATCATGCCATTTGTATTATGATTATTTTGTGGAAATAAATAAATATAGGATCTCCTACAGCTTGTGATTGTTTATGAATTTTATCCAACAAGTTGAGTGTTTATTTCCTATCTCCAAGCCTCTTGACGGGATAAATAACACACAAGTTGGATAAAATTCATATCCAGTCATATTTTACTCTATCAGTTATACACATGAATTTAGTTTAGATCAAAGAGACTGTGATTACTCGTGTCCAGGACATGGATGTCCATAGGCCGTGTAGTTTCATAGTCTTCTCCAGTACAATAGCCTCCAAAACTGTAAATCTTGTCACCAATAGCAACAGCTGCATGATTGACACGACGGGGCCCGCCCTCTAGATGCACTGTCCATCGCTGCATCCTCTGAAAAAAAACACAAAACATATGATATATAGGCCTAATGTAGAACATTAGGCATCATCAGCTGATCATAGGTCTACATTTAGTTAACTTTGTTTTGATAAATAGAACTAGTTTAATACCATAGTTCCATCATATTTATATTTATGAATATCATGAAATTTATTGTAGATGTCTGGTAATGGTTATGCAATTCTTCTTTATTTACGCGAAATGCATGATATATGGAATGATCTGAGGAAATTCGGATTAGTGAACAAAACAATGATAAGCCGTCGAAATTTTTCCCTGTAACTTTTTAAATCATATTCTCTTTATAATAAGAATGCATAGAATGAGTGATTTCTTACCACTAAACTGTTGTTTGATCATAAAGTATCTTTCTCAGCTTTCTGTCATAATAGGATAATGTAAAATTCGAACCCGGAACATGCACATCCGGAAAACATTGCATACTTTGTTAGTTCGCCAATAAATCACCGGTGTTCGAATTGTTCAAATAAATAAACGAAAATAAAAGAAATTATGTTATGTAATGATTGAAATTGTGTCATAATTGAACATGTTACACGTGATCCCCACCCACACACGTCCACCAGACCCCAAATTATCTAAAATAAAAATATTATTCAATAAGTTCCGTAATAATAAATATGTTCTGTAAGCTGTGTAAAGAAACCTCAAAGAGGTTAATTCACAGTGCATCATAATTTCAGATCTTTTTAAGACGTTCCCACGAGTGAAATTTTCGAATGAGACAATAAACAACACAAATTTTCGACTGAATTAATCAATCTTTTTTCACTTTTTGGGGAATATGTGTTTATTGTGATTCAAAAATTATATTGTACCCCGAAGATCTTGCATATTCCATCTAACTACCACCGAAATTAAATTCCCACTAAATAATCAAAATAAGTCTCAGTTGACCTTAGCTTGCGCGGATCTGAGAGGGGAGACCCCCACCCCTCCCCGGAAACACGGAACCCTTTCAGAATGGTAAGGAGAGTCGTGCATGCAGTGTTCTCCTACCCACCCAACCCTCTTCCCCCAACGACAAAGGATTATTATTTTTAGAGTCTGACACATCTTTTTCATATTTGGATATTTTACTAGAGAAAGACGTTAATGGTAATCTAACAACCTAGCTTTATGATAAATTAACGTGATGACTTTAACTTTTCAATCTTCAACTTCCCTTACTTATGCAGCAATATACCTTCATCACCTTCACCTGGGTGTATATCTCTCAGTTGATTCGATACGCAAGAGCATGCTTTACTTATGAACTATTTCTAAAACGAGGTGAGTTATTGACAAACAAGTTGATGAAACAAGAATATCAGCAGTCTCGTTTAAAGTCCTCATTTCCTAAGTTCTATGGTCGATACAATGACCTTGTCAGCTAATACAATTTATCATTTATTCAAATGCGGACTTGTGTTTTTCATACTAATTGTTAGGCCATTATTTACACACTGAATTGTCGACGGATTTTCCCGTTATTTTCCGATCATGACAAGGAGCACACGGCGGGTGTGACCGGTCGACAGGGGATGCTCACTCCTCCATGGCACCTGATCCCACCTCTGATGTCTGATGTTAATGGACTTTTGAGCTTGAATACTGTTCGTTATCTCCATATATTTCATGTTTGGACAAGCTGTTATTTTATTTATTTATTTTTAGTTTAGAGAGGGCCGCGGGTTATTTATATATTTATTTTTAGTTTAGAGAGGGGTCTGACATCTGTTCTAGAGAGCTGATGTGGACTACATTACAACAGCCCCTAACCCACCCCACCCCTTGAAAAAAAAATATCGGGTCCGCGCCTGCTTAGCATGTATTAAGCATCATGATAACTATTGCTATACTCATAATAACGCTCTTATGGTCCAGGTGAAGATTAATATTCAACATTGAAAATAATCCCTTTAAAATGTGTGTTCCCAAATCAAACTTTAATTTTCTCGTAGTTCTCACTCCATCGCATTGTTTCGGTGCATTACTCAGTAACACAGCCATTTTTTATTTAGAAAAACACCAATTCCCAAACGAAGTCAGAAAAATAATCTATGCTATCGCAAATATGCTACTCACAAAATAATCAACTTGTATAAACTGTATGAGTTCTTCATCTCTAATTTCTATGAATGAAAAAATGAATTTTATGAAGAGGGGATTTTTTTTACCAATCAAGAAGATTTTTCATGGAACGGGAAACAAATTGAAGACTACAGTAACCAATCTTATTAGTTTCATCATTGATATTTAATCTTTTCTTCTTTTTCTGCGTGATTGGGGGGGGGGGATTAATTTAAAATATATTAAAATGTTTTATGGAATATATTATTGTACATGATTTGAATTTCCGGGGAAAAAAATCACATGCACCGTTAAATCGCGTTTCTGGAGTGTGTTCGAATAACTGCCATTTCTGGCTATATGAATTTCCAGTGCATTCCCCCCCCCCTTTTTTTTTTAAAAAAGAAAAAAAATCTGTAGAAATATTTAAGCTTTCTCCATCGATGGAAATTGAAAAAATGATCCTTTGTCATTTGATACACAAAGACATCAAAGCAAGATATTCTGAATACTTCTTTCTAATAGGACGTTTCAAATGCAGAGCCTAAAATCGACATTTCAATAACAAAAGTTCAGATATGAATTTTAACTGAATTTTCGTGTCCTAATCATATAAATTTTTTATAAATTATAGAATTTAAATGTTTTCGTTTTCCTCTTTAGACAGGGTATAAGAAAATGAATACAATTAAAAATAACAGATATGTATTTTCCACTTTCAATTTTTTCATTGGCATGACTTTTTGTATACATTGTACACTGTACCAGGCCCGTAGGAAGCAACTTCAGTTGGGGGGGGGGGGGGGGGGCACAGCCATACATTTTTCAGTTGACAGTTGAGGGGGGCACTACCCAAAATTTCCTGACAATTAAGCCAAAAAAAAGTCACCAGACATTTTTTTAGAGGGCACAAGCATATAGTATCTGTGTTTAATAGTAATCTATGAGCGAATTTGTTGCATCTAAACTAGTTCAGGTTTTGGTTTAAGGTTTAAATCTAGTTTTTAAACTGGTTATAAGTTTCGATCCGGTTTACCTTGGTAAAACAAATGAACAGTTTATACAAGATGGCATCTAAAAGATGCATGCATGATTAATTATATTAATATTAATCATGTTAATTGGAAATCTGAAGCGGAAATAATGCTGCTGATGAAAAAAAGAGATAGAATAGCAAGAATTTTATGACGTTTTTCATGTGCATTTACAATGTAGAAAGAGCTAGAACATATTAACCAAATTACACATGCAAATAAAGTTAAAATCTTTTTCTTTATAAAAGAATCCAAGAAATTATAGTTTATTGTTCCTTGTTTATCTTACTTAAAATGCAGTATTTATATTTATAATGCCTCAAAGATTCATCAAATGATCAATTTCCACATTTTTAACACATGGAAATATAAAAACTCAGGTATTTATAATACTACTCTTTAGATTTCCAACAATAAAACCGTCTTTACAGTAAGTTCTACAATTTACCATACATGTTAAAGTTTGTCCAAATGATTCAAAACTTATTTTTGAAAAGGAAAATTTAACATTTTCTGTTCATTATCATTGAACAAACACCATTACAATATGCAGCATTTATCTATTCTCTGAAGCCTTCTATAAAACATCAGAATGTGGCATTAAAGTCAAAAAGAGTTGTTTGTCCTCGAAAAAACAATCATTTATAACTTTTATCTTTATTAAAATAGTCACCACCTTTCATCACCGCCATACTGGAATACTTCCCGCTCTTTCGTAAACCGAAAAAACCACCATCGGAGGTGGTTTGGTTGGTTTAACGAACTGGTTTCAGTTACAGCAGAAACAAATAGAAAACCGGTTCTGGGTTTAAACTAGTTTAAAACCAGTTTGTGGAACAAATGAACAGTTTACAAAACTGGTTCAAAACTAAAACCAGTTTTTGAGAAACAAATTCGCCCTATATAACGGCAAAATTATAGGGGGTACCCCCCCCCCCCCCGTTCCTACGGCCATGTTATTCATAAAAGCTTTCAGGTCCAATGATTAGAGTTTGGTCTTGCATAAGACATTTAATTTACAAATATATGGTTTGGACATCGTACTTTCATTTTTGTTGAAAATAGTATTTAACCACATTCAGTGGTTAATTAATCAATGAGACTTGTGTTTATAGTTTATTAGTCCCCAGGGGGACTATAGGTTTCCTTTGCGTCTGTCTGTTCCTCTGTCTGTCTGTCCCACTTGATTTTCGCACGTTTTTTTTTCTGAACGCTTGCAGATATTGAGCTGATTTTTGGTTAATAAGTGTATCTTGAGTTACTGATGAAGTTTGTATTTCGTTCCGCTTCAATGGTTTTCAACGGAATTACGACCTTTTTAATTTTTAGGAGTTTTCCGCAATTTTTTCCTAAACGCTTGTAGATATATTGAGCTGATTTTTGGTATGTGACTGACTTGCCCTTGATGAGTTATAGATCAAAATAACATTTTGTTCCGCTTCAATGATTTATTTTTATGGAAATTTTTAGTGGGAACCAGATTACACTTGCCGGTAGGGGACTGGTTTTGCTAATGCAATACTCTCAGAATGCTTGTTTATTAATGTGGTCACACAAACCTGAGTTATCAGATTAACGAAACTCTGTGCCAAAGCACAACTTGGCCATTACAATGTTACCATCCATTTTGTAGTAGATTTAAATCATGACTAAGAATGCAGCTAACACTAGGAAATTTAAACTTTTACACAGCAACATGCATAAATGTCTTGTTTTAGGACTTGAAGGTATCAGGAGATACACTGAGCATCACCTAAAGCTTTGCTACCAACAATATTATATCATCAAAGTCAAATGTCCTGTTTGTCTTATCAGTTTCAAAACTTGTAATATGTAGATATCATAAACTAACAATTTAAAGTATTTTTCAATTTCTGATTCAACATTTTGAACAATTTTAAATGCTAAACCAATTTGGTTTCAATATATTGTTAAAGTTGAAGAATAATGAATAGCTAAAATAATTTGCTTGCATGATTTAATTCAAAGTAATAAAAAGAAAATGACTTTGAATCAGCACAAGTTCACATTTTCCACTGTTCAAATTCTTCTTCATAGTAATCTGCTGACACACAAAGCTTGGAATAAATGTTCATGTCCTTCGCTGCATAGCCTAGCGAGTCCAATATAACCGTGCTGCCTTTTGGTCCATAGTCCAGAAAGAGGAGATAATCTTGCAAGAGAGCGGGGATCGGGAGGGACCTTATACTGTCTTCTGTGTACTGCTGCCTCCGAGCCAGATCGATCACAATGGACCGTCGACAGGCATGCGACAAGGAATGCGTAGAATCTGTAATAAACAAATTGTGTTATATTCAGAGCTTTGTATAGATCTGGAGAAAGAATTATCAAGGATCAATTAGATAACAACACATATATTTTAGCACTTTATTCTTTATATACAATGCAGAAACACTAACACTCTATGGTTCAATGACTTTTGCTTTAACTATGATAATTCTCAAAAAGAGATCTACACATGTAATTTATAATATGCACACAATTGCAGCATACCTTGCACAGCAAAATTTGAAAGAAATGGCCCTGACAATTGACAATTTTATAAAGGAATATTTGATAATCATCATTAGTCATTTAACCAGTTAAGAGTTATCTCTCTTATCATAGGGTCAACAACTTTCATGTATAACTTACTTTCAATGGTGTTGAAATATGAGATAACATCCTCATTGTAGACATGTTTTTTGAACTCCTGACCGATACATAGATTGCTACAAAAGCTGAACAGCAGTGTCAGAACAGGCCACAAGTTCACAGTCATTGTGCACTTGTTCAACACCTGATACAAGTTGTATTTGAACACTTCTTGGTCCCTGTCAATGTCTCTGATACATGAAACCAATTCCGCCTTTGATAAGATTAACTTGCATAGATACTTTCCAAAAATCTCCCGTTTCACACCATTGTCAGATGTCACTGTTAACAGAGTTTTTAAATCTCTCTCTATTGCCATAAGTGCGGTCACATTTCCATTTGCCAAGGAATGATAAATATTTGGGTTGGCTCCATGTCTCAGAAGCAAGTTAAATAGGTCACTGTTATCAGATGCCAGACTCATCAACAAGGGAGGCAACTCATCTGGTGTCTGTGCATTACAGGGTAGTCCTTTATTGAGTAGATACTGAACACCCACTAGTGACCAGTGTATTGCCACATGACACAGGATGGAGACATTTGTGCTGTACTGTAAGGTGGTAAAGAGGGGATTGGTGTGGGCAAATACTCCCAAGGGTAGCTTGGTCGAAATGTCCATTCCATGATCTATCAGAATCTCCAAGCACTCAGTGGTAGATGCCTGGGTGGCCATAATCAGAGGATGCATGTTCTTGCTGACATTTTTGTATAAGGAGTCTTTATCAGTGACGGGAAGCAGAACTTTTAGACACCTACAATACAACAACTGCATACAAGTATTGTCATACCATTTGTTTGTGGTTGTTATCGTGCTACTCTTAAAATTGTTTTCTTTTTTAATATTAACAAATATGCCAACTGCAAAACTTGCATAAAACTCAACAGGTTAGAAATACAAGTATTAAAATAATTGTTGTAAAATATATTTTTAGATTAATCACACTTTTCATTCAACTCTGTTTCTGCTGACCTTGGGTGTTCTTTATATATTGCAAAGTGTGCAGCCACTCCCATGTAATCTGTGACTGGAATATTTGGGTTGGCATTGTGTGTCAGTAGAAGTTTGATACATTCTTCATGCCCCTCCTGAGCAGCTATTAAGATGGGTGTGGCATTGTCAGTGGTGGTTTTGTTTACAGCCTCCAACTGACCTGACATAAAGAAACAGCAAATTTACTTTAACTATTGTTGCTGTACACATATTACCAGTAGTATGGTTGCATTTTCATTACAGTGTATTACATTTAGAATAAGTTCTCATATGTAAATCCATCTTCGCTAGCTTAGGGTTTCTGATACGAGTGTAGCGTATCAGAAAGCCTTGGCTAGCGAAGATGATGTAAATCTGGATATTTAAGTTCTTGACTGAGAATTCTCATTGAAAAACTCATAGATATCACACCTCTGTCTTTGGCACATTTCAGAAGAATCTCTAGACACCCCAGGTGTCCAAACTGAGCAGCCAAGAAGATAGGTGTCAGTTTGTGGTCAGCCTCCAGGTCTAAGTACGCCCCCAGATCCAAAAGGAGTTCCACTAATGCCCTGTACCCTTTCTCTGCAGCCAGATGTAAGGGAGAGTACCCAGTGAAGACCTGCCTGTTGACATCAGCTCCGTGACGTAGCAAACATTTAGCACAGCTTACACTGTTAGCACCTACAGCTGTAAATACATATTAAATGTAACAATAACAAGAGGCTTATATATCCTATAATGTTCACCTTAGACACAATAACTACATTGTAAATATAGATACATGTAAATGAAACTTCTTATCATAGCCATCAACTTTATGTCCATGAATTCAACAATTTCAGGTAACAGCATAAGTCAAGTTTATAAATTGCAGTCTTGCTATATTGCAGAAATGTATGTATATGTATTTCCAAGTTAAGCTTTGAAAACCTATCATGGCCCAATCTTAACCCCAGGGGCCATGATTTGAACAAATTCAAATCTATACTACATTGTGATGCTTGCATTCTAAAAAATTGGCTAACTGTAGCCCTGTTGTTTGTGAAAAGAAGATTAATTTTAAAGATTTCTTCCTATATGTTTCCATTTAAATGTTGATCCTCTTCTTCTGGTTCACACTTACCTTCCCACAAGGGAGTATACAGTTCATTGCTGGGACTGTTAACCTCTGCTCCACTTTTCAGCAGCAATCTTGTACATTGAAGATGTCCAGCCCTGGCTGCCAGCAGTAAGGGTGTCTCTCCTTCAAATGTCTTCCAATTCAAATCAGCATCCTCTGTTTTGAAGAGATCAACATAATTTGTGGGCTTAAAAAATTGCCAATTAAAAATTTTACATTGATGTAATAATCATATACAGAACATTTTATTTTTCAAAATATTTTATTGCCAAGCCTCTTAAGGGTCTAGTAAAATCCTCAAAAAGGACTATCATAACCATTTCTTTAAGGTTCATTGATACTCTGATAAGAGAGATAACTCTTTATGACATAAATTATTACTATTACTATTATTCACAGTCATTATTACTATACTATTATTCTTTTATATATTTGTCAAATTTGAAATGTCTTTTTTTTTTCCAATTTTGCCCCACAAGCTATGCTAGAATTGTTTGTATTTTACTTAAAAAAAGCATTTCTTTGGAAAATCATAAGAGTTAGAGAAACATTTTATATGAGTGAGCAGAGGGTTTATGAACCTTAACAAATAATTTTTTCTACTTATCATATGCATATAGTGCTCTCTCTCTCTCTTTCTCTCTTAAAATTAGACTTAAATCTGCCTTGGCTATGTACCGGTACCTTGTCTAAGCAGAAACTCCAAACAACCAGAATTTCCAGCATAAGCAGCCTCATGTATAGCTGTCCATCCTCTGTTGTCTCGAACATCATAAGGTTTTCCTGGAAAAAAGAACCTTTTCAAATCAGGAAAAATCTGGGAGAAATGTAGATGTCTATTTAGTAAGAGTGGCAAATAATTTTGCAACATTTTCTAATTCTATATGTCCATCCTATCATATATATGAATTGAACATGATTGTTAAGCATCAAAATTCATTTACAATTAATTCAATCTGAGATGACTATGCATGCACATAAATTATATTTTGTACTTGTAGGTATATGTTAACATCAAATTAATTAAGAATGACTTCATTATTCATTTCTATTTACTGATAGACACATAAATTTACAAATGAAGCTTTAATTTTGAAGGCATAACTACAAAAGTTCTTTCTATTCAGTATCCATACCCTTCTTTTTCAAGATTTAATTATCACTGTAATAAAGTAAAAGAACCCCAAAACTAAACAGATCTGTTTTCTGACCTTGCCAAATTAGATTCTGTAGGGATACCAGATCCCCAAGTCTTGCTGCTAATCCAACAGAAGAGCATGTCTCTGAATATGCCTCTGAGAAATCCATCTGCCTCCAAATTAGCTTAATTATTTGTAAAAGCCTTCATCACCTGGAAATAAATCAGAAATCAACAAATTTAACTGAACATAAAGCATTTCACCCATCTGTTAAGGCATTGGTCACACGGACTGAGTAGTATAGCTAGTTTTATCAGACTGTTTGATTTTATCAGTTTTAGAGGCAGGACCAATAGTTTATGGAAATTCCATTAAAAGCTAGGGCCCCCTATACACTAATGAATAATGTTTTTGGACAATGGAAAAAGTTTATCGTCTGTGGGTGTAAATATTGAGCTTATCTGTTTCACTTTTAACATGAGCACAAGCCATTTACCCACAGGAAAAATGGTAAGACAACAAAGTAATACTAGAATTGATGAGCAGAAATCACTTTTGTTTACTTGAACTGGGGAAAATAAATGATAATAAAGTGTTCATTGAAGATTTCAAGGGCAGGTCACTGCATTAAAAAACCACAGAATTAGATTCACTATTGTGCATTGTCTAGGAGAGTCTTTAACAAGCTTAATGTGCAATGCATAGCATTTCTACTGAACGCTAGGGGGAGGCAAAGAACGATAACTCTAAATCAGCGGAAGTTGTGACCTGTCGATATTTATTTGCTCGTGAGTTGACAAGCAATACACCGGGTCGCGAATTCTTGTAACGCTTCCTTGGTGTATGACATTGTCCGAACAAGGTAAATATAATTTCTGTAGGTTCTTAGAAAGCTATTTTTACTAAGATTTAATCAATTACAACTTGAAATGTTAACAAAAAAAACAATTTAAACGCACGTGTTATGAATTCGTCAAACAGAGAAAAAAATATTTGCAAAGGTATTTTTGCCTGCTTCAAGTTGCATCACCGATTAAAAGTTGCCAAATATAATTAGATATTTTTATGCAAAATCGCAATTTGAACAGAGGAAGCAATTTTTGTCACTTATTTTAAGTATATTGAAGCGGTGTTTTGGTGTTTGATTACCTCCCTGTTGTTTATAATTTTGTTCTATGTATAACATATTTTCACATTAGGTATGTTCTATGCATTTTCATTACTTTAATTAATGGCAACATCTGCTTATGAATATTATCATATATAGTAAATAAGTTTATTTTAAATCCACGACGTTTTTTGATGTTCTATGTTATGCTATACTACTACACCGAAACTGATTATAGATAGGAGTTATCCTTCCTAACGGAAAAATCATCTTTGCTGTCAGGTTAGATTATTTCCCTTGAGTCACAGATCGCTGTGTGAGGTAGGCTGTACATATAACTTGATTTTATGAAATCCAGAAGGTATTGAAGCAAATTTCATTTAGAATCTACAATTATATGGAGATAAACTAATGAAAAATGACATTTGACCTTATAATCTTTTATTTTAATTTTTAGGAAGAAGTGCTACAATGCAGTGTGCAAAGGTCCCAGTTTGATATTTCTCTTTAACACAAAGCTGTCACAATAGTGGTAAGATTGTGTAAATCCATTTCAAATTCACAAAGCTAGAAAACTTTATACCATTGACCATTCTTTTCCAAGACCAACTCACCAAGTGCTACATTGCATCACAAAAGATTTGAGTAGTTCTTAAAAGAGCACCGTTCAAAGAATGATTCGATGTATTTTTGACATTAACATATTTCAAAAGTTCAGAGAATGATAGTGATACAGTCTGAAATATTAATTTCAATCATGCAAATATTCGTCATAGTAATTCCTGACTTGTCTTTCAATCAAGCTACATACGTATCATTAAGTTACGAAACAATTGTTATTGCACTACTTACACATCTCACTTCCGCTTTGTATTCGCACAGAAAACGACAACAAAATTGAAAATAGCAAAAAAGTTTATAGAAATTTTAGGAGTGAATACATACTAAAAGATGGGATCCTCAAAGAAACATAAAGAAAAGGATAGAGATAGGGAGCACAAGAAGAAAAGGAAACACAGATCTCGGTCTCGCTCCAAAGAAAGAAAGAGGCATCGACACGAACGTGATAGAGAACATTCGGACCGCGAGAGATACCGTCGAGAGGAAGAGTACCTTGAAAATGATGATTATTATCCAAAGGAGCTGGAAGATGTTGATATTAAGGCATCGTCTAAAGGTGTATTTTCTGAGATTTTTCTTTAATTTCATCATTAAACAACCCTTTCTCTATTCACCAGGTCCAGGAAAATCACTATATTTAGCTATATAGCTTAATTTACCTATATAGCTTTATTTACCTATATAATATAGCTTTATTTAGCTATTTTAGAATAAGTTTCTGTTTTATGAAAAGCAAACAAGAAGTCGCATGAAAATTATGGCTGATATTTTTTTAAAAAGGTTTGATAAAAACAACCTAGGGCATAGATAGTAAAAACATTGCCTCTTTTAAACACTTTTTAACCACAAAATGCATTTCTATTGTTTGGATAGCTGTCCATTACTGGAGGTGCGATGAGGCATGACTAAGTGTGATTGCCTTGCATTGTGTTGAATTATTACCAATCAATTATCTTGTTGACCAAAACTGCTTTTCTTTGTTAAAGTAGCTGCTTATTCACAGATTAACTGTTATACATAGCCCCAAAACTTTTAGATCTTTCATTGCAATTGCACAAAAGGAGAAACATTTTTAAAAGTGGGTTTTTGGTGAATTGTTTTCAGTCCATTTCAAAGTTGAAAACTAATACTGCCTCATTATGCGACTTTTTGTCTGCTTTTCATAAAACAGAAATTTACTCAGAAATAGCTAAATAAAGCTATATTTTATAAGTAAATAAAGCTATGTAGGTAGATTTAGCTATATAGCTAAATATAGTGATTTTCCTAGACCTGTTCACTATATTTCACATTAAAACAGTATACGACGCAGTGGTTAGAGCATTTGCTTAAGAGTCACGGAGTAAGGAATTGATCCTTACATCGCAGGTTTGAATCCCACTGCGGGAAGTGGAGACTGGCCTTTGGATGAAACCGTAAACTGAAGTTCCATGTCGCAGTAAGTGCTGGCATGAAAAAGATCAGTCACTGCTCAATGGCCTTCAGTGCTGAGTATATGTCTAAATTTGCAACCCTCCACCGGCAAGTAGTGGCATCTCCATACGAGTGAAAAATTTTCAAGAGCCCTGAGGCCTCAGGGACAGTACTAAGTTGTGGGGGGGGGGGATGTTAAATGGTAGATAGAGGTTCAGGTTCCTCTAGTTTCCACTACCCCTGACTACATTCACATGTTTTACTGTACACCATTTTTATGTTTGTTTTTTTTTGTTTAGTAGTCTAAGTATATTCTGCTGTGACATTTGTATTTCATTTCTTACGCTAACATTTAGTACTTGTTGAACAATCACATGAAGAGAAAAAGATTGTTTTTCTGTATATCTAATGTACCAGAACCAATTTTTCTTAAACTCTTGTTCAGGATCCTACACAGAGGCACCAGCCCCCACGGGGGGAGCAAGTGGGGATGTCTCTCTGAGTATAGAAGAAACAAAGTAAGATCTTAAATACACTCAAAGACACAGTCATTGATATGGGCATTTTCTGTACTCTTATCATAATTCCAAAAATTATTAAACGATTTTCAAATATGGAATCAAATATAGAATCATGAGAAGATTTATAGCTTTGTTACAGCATATTACTTTATTATGAAATGAGTAATTGGTTTTTATTGTTGTAAAAATAGTTTCACTTTTCATTCACAGTCGTATAAGAGCCAAATTAGGATTGAAACCTCTTGATGTTGGTCCTGAGAAAAAGCAGACTGGTTGGTATTTATTATTAAGAAGTTCAACACCAAGAAAAAAAAATTCTGCAATATACAAATGCTCTTGCTCTATGTAGCAAAAAGACCATAAAGAGCAAAAAGACCATATTAAACATTTTATCAGAAAATGTTGAATTCTTTTGCATGGTAATTGTGATAAGACTGAAACACACTTACATATACATGTACATGTATGATGTAAATTCTATGTACAGTGGAGTCCCATTAATCCAGACACTTGTGTTACCAGATAATTCATCATGATAAATGAAGCATTAGGACTACTAAAGGTTTCTTTTATAATTTGTAGATATAAATGTAAACTCACTCCCCATAAATTTAGCCTGTAAGGTGAAGTGTCTGAATTATTGGCATCCAAATTAACAAGACTCCACTGTACTCTTTCATTTTTTTTAAGCATAATACATGTACACTAATAATTACAGATGATGGTTTTCTAATCACAAAAGAAGGAGATGTACACAAGCCTGCCTTGAGCCTAACAGAGAAAAAAGAAACTGAGAAATTGAAGGAGAGAATTCAAAAAATGAAGGATAAAAGAAAAATCAAAGACCAGTTAGGGTAGGTTAAGGGTTAAGTAAAAAAACACAACTTTTCCTATTTATTCTGTCATGTCTTGCACATTATTTTATTTCTTTTTTAACGCTGATCCATTGTTATATAATCTTGTATGTATTTTAGCAAAGTGAAAACCCTGGGTGAAAGCGATTCAGATGATGACACAACAGCCTGGGTGAAGAAAAGTCGACAAAAACAGAAAGAAAAGGAACTTGCAGAAAAAAGGGTAGGAGAAAAATTTCTGGAATCGGCACTGTAAAATTTTCCTGAGGAATATTTATGTATAATTTTATGAAATATATTAGTGTGTACTGTGTAGTATAATATTGAAATACAGAAAACAATACTGTTTTCAGTTGCAACAGAGTCCTTAATCATAATCCCTGTAGATGTAAAACTTACAGTGTATTATTTTAAAGGCTGCTATTAATTTCAAAACTTATTAGCTTTAATATCAAACCAGGTTTTTAGAATTATACAATTGGATATTACAGGCAAAGCAGTTAATGGAACTAGATGAAGCTTTTGGATTGGAGGATATTGTCAAAGAGGAATTTAAAGACAGCAAGAAGGTGAGTTTTGGTGAGGCTGAAAGAAAGGGAGTATCTGTTTTACTCTTTTCATCCAGTTTATTGAATAAGCATCAAGGGATGAGCTTTTGCATTTACGGTGTAATTCACATAGGGTTTTCATAAAAAATGAGTAAGAAACATTAGCATTTATTACCTGTATGATTTATTTCAAGTGTGTGATTTATAGCACATAAAGTTACTGTATATTGCACAATTTTTTTTATGGTTTACCTTTATTTCATGTTTTTCATAGAGGAACATGTATAACATGTACATGTAAAAGTGCAAATATAAAATTCAAAAGCTGTGTACAAGTAAAGCAAATGTCAAGTTTGAATATTAAAAAATGTAATATTAACAAAATTGGGAAGTTTTCCTTTAATAGTGTATTATTCACACCAGTTGTATCATGGTACGGGTACTGGACTAATAAAGAAACTTCTTATTTATAGGAATATACATCTAAGGACTTGAGAGGTCTGAAGGTAGAACACTCTGTGGACAGATTTAAAGATGGACAGTCCATCATTTTGACGCTTCAGGACAAAGGTGATAATAGTGTAGTATTGAAACTTTTTTTTGTACCATTTTAAAGGAATGAAACGAGCCTTTTTTTCGTGCTAAGATGAAGTTTGAAATACCTAGTAGCTATTGATATATTATAACATGAATTTCTTGCTAATGTGCTTCACACAGATACTGTTTACAAGGTTATTTTTGCCCTGTTTTATTTTTACCCTAACTTGCAAACAATTAAGAGAGATAACTCTATCTCTGTTGAATTTACTCTGTTCTGAAGTTGCCCAGTGTTGACAAGGGTGAAAGGGGTAAAAATAAAATGGAGGCAAAAATGATGTGTAAAAGCTTGCTCCTATTTTTATCTATTACTCAACATTAATTAACTTAAAATAAGATTTTACTGTGTAATTTTAAATAAGCTATGTACAGCGTACATGTACATGAAAAAGCTCAAGAAGACCTTTATAAAAAAATCTAATGTGAGAATAAGATTAATTCTTGAATTAATTTTGCTACTTTATTAAATACACATTTACTTTTATTGTTACTGATTAAAGATGTATATATAATGTACTTGGTAAATCTGTTTTGTACAGGTGTGTTAGATGTATATATAATGTACTTGGTAAATCTGTTTTGTACAGGTGTGTTAGATGTATATATAATGTACTTGGTAAATCTGTTTTGTACAGGTGTGTTAGATGTATATATAATGTACTTGGTAAATCTGTTTTGTACAGGTGTGTTAGATGTATATATAATGTACTTGGTAAATCTGTTTTGTACATGTGTTAGATGTATATATAATGTACTTGGTAAATCTGTTTTGTACAGGTGTGTTAGATGTATATATAATGTACTTGGTAAATCTGTTTTGTACAGGTGTGTTAGATGTATATATAATGTACTTGGTAAATCTGTTTTGTACAGGAGTGTTAGATGAAGATGAAGGAGACACACTAGTTAATGTTAATCTTGTGGATGATGAGAAAGCAGAGAAAAATGTGGAACTTAAAAAGAAGAAGCCAGATTACAACCCATATGATACTGGGGATGTGGATGAATTTGGAATGGTAAGGTTGAAGCAAGCTATATAGTACATGTAATTGTAACTCTTAAGTTTACATCCCAATAGAAACTCACATATTATTTCTTTTGGGAAGTATCTGAAATTTATATCTCAGTATGTTCATGTGTATTGGACAAAATACTGTAGATAAAATTTTTCCACTTGGGATTAATTTACACTATGTACGCAGTCAAATTTTCCATGTAAATTTGACACAGTGTACTTAAAGTTCATTTAAGGACATTTTTCCAGCATACTTAAGTTCATTTAAGAAATATAATGGCAATCCAAGAAATCCACATTATGAAAAGAAATTGTAATTCCGTGGAATTATGACCTTGTGGATAAAAGTACATTTACAGTATATGAATGGTATTTACATGTATTCATGAAAACAATGGGTTTAAGATATAAAAGACTGATTTTTTTTTTTTGTATTTTACAGTTCAAAGTGAAGAATGTGTTGGACAAATATGATGAAGAGATAGAGGGTGTTAAGAGAGAGAAGTTTGAGTTAGGGTCTGGTGGAAAGTATGACACTGACCCTGAAAAACAGATGGATGAAATTCGTAGACAGTTGAGAGAGCAGAGTCAGTCCCTAGGAGGAGTGACCCTCAACCCCATCAATGAGTACCTCACCCCACAGGAAGCAGCTGTAAGTATCATCATCTGACCTACTTTTTGTAGAATGTATATAGTACAAGAAAGATTTTCTAGCTATAAACTACCAGATACCAAAATGCATGTGTCCGGGGAAGAAGGTAAAAAAAAAATCACCAGTCAAAATTGTAGAGCATTTCTGATATGTATTTTAGTCGTAAACTTTTCAGCCTGCCCACATGCAAAAATTTCTTCATCTTTTTTTTTTTGGTTTGGTTTTATAATGATCAGTCAAGTTTATATTTATAAAATTGCTGTGATTTCTGTGAATGCTTTACTGCTCATTGTATATTCATACCATGTAAAGAAGATAAATGTAGTTACATAAATGCTGATGTTACATGTACTGGTATTTGTTTTAACAGGAGGCAGCAAAGTTTAAAAAAGTTAAAAAGAAAGTAAGGAAAATCAGAAAGAAAGAATCATTAAAAGCAGATGACCTACTTCCTCTGCCAAATCAAGGTCAGGAGGGCACAGATTATGGGTCAAGGTAAAGCTTGGTATTTACAATGCAGCATGTAAAATTGCCACTGGTCAGAATTTTGTTTGACTCTTTTAGAATAGTAAAATGATATTGCAAAATATAACCAGTCTGTATTTTGAATGAGGCCAATTGAATGGAATCATGTGATTAAAAATTTCCCAATTTTAATGGTATTTATGCATGTATTTGAAGAAAAATAAAGGTGAAAGCTGCAGATTTAAAAAATAATGCATCACCATACAAATTATGAATCAGAACATTTTGTACACACATGAAATGCAGCTGATACATGAAGTCAAGTACAAATACATAACAAGTTAACATATCATCATTGTACATTAAAGAACCTGTCAGAAAGAAAAAAAAATTGATGTAAGGCTTTTTCTTGTAGGAAGAGAGGGAGGGGATATGTGCGAGGGGAGGAGGATGCTGTTGAGGGTCAATCAGGCTATGAGAATGGTTACGGGATGACAGCTCCCATTGTGATTGACTATGCCCATGGTCACACAGCGGTCAGTGTCAATGAGCAGCCAATGGAGGTCACAGAGGAAGAGGAAGGTACGTGTGTTCTTGATACAGAAATTATTAATAAATATATAAGAAATGGTTTTGTGCTCTGATATTATATTGAAATAGCCGAAATATTTGTTAAACCGCTATCCGATAAAATGAAAGCCACTGTACTAATATGTGAAGTTATGTACCAATTTGAAATACAAAGAACCACGGTTAAATAGGGAAAACTTTGACATTTACTGTGAAATCACAAATTTCCATGGGACAAAATTTTCATGCTTTGAGAAAAAAATAATGGTTTGTGGGGATTTGATTGCATGGTCAAGGAACTGCTTAGTTGTTAAATATTTGGTAATTTACATTTCATGGAGGACATGATTTCATTGGTCTCTTCATATACATGTATATACTTTGAACAATGAAAATTAAACCCCCATGAAAATGAGTGACTTCACAGTACCAGTTATTACATATAAAACAAAATTGTTTGATAATCAGACTGTATTAAAATATTCACTTTCTCTGGAATGAATAACCAGGTTAGATCATATAGCAGCATACATTGTATGCAGACAGTGATCTAAATTTTGAAAATGAAATTTGAGTGAGGTATCAAAATTACCAGGTATGTTCTTTAAAGGCTGGAATCGACATTTACACATACGTCATTAGTTTAGTTAATTTATCTAATTAAATATTTATTTTTCAGACTTGGATGGCCCAGATGAGGATCTCAGTAATGTTGTAATAGAGGAAGATGAGGCAGAAAAGGAGTTACACACAGCTCTGTCAAAAGCAAGGAAAATCAAGCAGAGGAAAGATGCCTCTGTAGTTGTCAAGGTAAACTGCATTCTTGTCGTCAATGTAGGACAATTCTTCTAAAGCCAGGAAGATCACAGAGCAGAATGAGATATGTACAGTGGAGCCCTGTTAATCCAGATGCCAATAATCCTGTCACTTCACCTTCTGGATAAACTTTGCAGGGAACAGAATAAACTCATATATATACCATTTATAAAGGATTGGTTTCAGTATCTGGATGATTTGCTTGGAAACACAAGCTTCTGGATTAAGAGACTTGACTGTATTTTGTATATGTACTTGTCTAGGTAGTACTGAGCTCTTAAAGTCAGGAACCTCAAGCAGGGGAATGGGACCTATGCAGATGTCAAAATAGAACTGAACTTTTAAAGCCCAAAAAGTCCAAAAATTCAACTACATGGAGTTGAAAGAGGCCTTGGTGAATTTGTCATCAAGGCACAAAACTTGGGTGTATTAAAGAGGTCTCTATGGTTGTCAAAGGTCAGAGGGCCTTGAAACTCATTCAGATTAAAGAAGTCTCTGTGATTGTCAAGGTAAAACCAGGAAACTTGAGCAAATTAAACAGGCCACTGTCACCATCAAGGTAGGTATCACAAACACAGAAATGGGGTCTTTATAGTTTTCAAGGTAAGATGGAGCTCTCTAAGAGCTAAAAAACTCCATCTGAGGAAAGATAACAGTGCTAAATGCATAGTAAAGCACATGTAAAAGTTTCTGTCCCGGTAAGTTTACCCGTGTTTAGTGGTCAACCATCAGAAATACTGAACATGTATAATACTCTAAAAGACTTTTTCCTTGTCTACCTCATTCATGATTAAGCCATTAGAATGAAAATGAAATAAAATTACATGTATTTGATAAATAAAGTGAGTTAAAAGGGAAGATAGAAATTGGAGAAATAAAATATTGTGATGAATTGTCAATATGAGAGGAAATGACTATTTTAAGTAGGGTAATCCATGTGACATGCAAAAAGTCTTATCTATGAAAATATACTGTATATGTATTAGAAGATACTGTTGGTTGAATTAACTACCTCACATTTAACATGATTGAGATGAAGTAGAAAACAAGAATACAGATTTCCTGGAAATAAAAAGCATTTTTTTTGTACTTTCAGGTAGCAGAGCAGGTGCTCTTAAATGTTAAGCCAGAGCCAGAAGAGGAAGAAGCCCCACACGAGGGAAACATTATCCTCAATGCTACCTCCGAGTTCTGTAGAACGCTGGGGGATATTCCTACGTATGGCCAGTCAGGGAACAGAGAGGAAGATCAGGAGGATTTCATGGTCAGTCTGTTGGTTATAAAGCTTCAAATGTTGATTGTTTTTTTTTTCAATATTTTCAATGACAGATTATTTACTTCCAAAATCTGCTAGTAACCCCCCCCTCCCCCCCCCCAAAGATTCAAATAGTTGTCCCCTTGGTGTTTTTTTTTGTAAGATATTATTGAGAAGGCTTTAAAACTGTTTGTATAGATGGACATGTTAATAACAATTATGGATTGTTTCTCGGGGGTATCTGGATTAAATTCAAATACTGTAAACCAACTAATATTCGCATCAACATTTATTTGTGATTTGTCAGTTTGAAATCAATCCGCAACGATTAATTTTCACGATTGAGGAAACATTCTCTACAAATACAAAGGAAAATAAATTGTTCACAGCGATTAATGTTCGTGAGTTAAAGTAAGTCGCGAAACTCGAGAATATTTCTCGCACACGAATGAAAGTTGGTTTACAGTATCTTAATCTATGAAATTAGTTCTTGCTATTTTTTCTTAGAATTTGTAATATTTACAGGATTTTGAGAAAGAACTTGAAGAACGAAGGAAAAAAGAAGAGGATGAGGAACAGATGTCAGGCTGGAATGCTGTGGAAATTGATGAGACCCCTGTCAATATCACTGTAAGTATTTATATACCTGACAACGTCAATATTAATGAAATACATCCTTATCAAGAAGAGCCATGCATTCCATGTTTATGTCTGTGAACTTTGTTATTAATACTGTAAGTTGTAGACATTTTAAGTAGTTAGTATTACATGTTCATGTTGCATGTGAACTTTCACAATATCACAATCATGCAAAGATGATTGGCGTGTGTCTTTCTTATAATGAAATAAATCTATACATTTTTTGTATTTGTTAATTTATTCAAAAGTATTTCATTTATCCTTAATTTCCTAAGAACTGAAAATTCAATTCCTGTTAGTATTTATGCCAATTAAGTTTAATACCATACTCATTGTAATTCTTTTCTCTTCAATAAATACATGTATGCTATTATTGTCTCATGAAAATGAAGCCAAACACAGTTAAACTCCTGGGGACTTGTGAATGTACTTAGCTAGATCCCTTGTCCACTATGGCTTTATAACAAATTCATTTAAATATATATTGTGATTTCGCAATATACAAGTATGACATCTGAATATGTTCAGGGAAGGATAAATACAAAACTTACCTGGAGTACTAAAGTTTTCTGATGAACAGATTTCAAATATAAATACTTAAGAAAAATAATGTCAGTTGAATAGTTTTATATTCGGAGATCTTGAAAAATTTGTTATAAAAGATGTAAATTTCTTTATTTTTAACCTCTTCAGGACACAAAAGCAGTTCCCTATATCCCTAAATTCATTATATCAGACTTCATTATAACCATAAAATTTTACAAAGAATTGTTAAAAATTTTACTAGGGATTCCAACAAACTTTTCTATATCAGTAAATTCACTATATGGATCCATGTTCATACTAAACAAGTTTTACTGTATATATGTTTTCCAACAATAATTCCCATTCCAAAGATTTAATTGTCTAATGGTTCTTGTATCTATAGGGAGAGGAACAAGCAGTGCTAGAAGAAGAACCAGTGGTGAGTTCAGGGGTAGGAGCTGCTCTAGAGCTTGCTGTAAAGAAAGGTTTGTAGAATTGATTTCTTCCATTTCAAATGAAAACTGGTGGAAAAATCTTTAGACAGAAGTTCAATACCTTTATGAGAAATTTGTGAGAGAAAAAATACTTGTATATGGTGTTTGTTTTTACAGGCTACATAGAAGATGAAGGGAAGAAAATGGCCATTGTGAGGAGCAAAGCTAAGCTTGAGTTGGAGGTTCAGAATTACTCCATAGAGGACAAAAGATATGAGTGAGTTTAGTAGGAAATTAGTGTAAACGTAAAGCTGTACTGTACTGTAAAAGAAACCATTCCTAAACAACTAAATATAGTTTCTACTGTAAAAACAAAAAGTGTAGGGTAAATACAGGTAATAGAACCCCACTGACCTCTCTAGATCTACTGCTATTTTTCAGTGATTTGGATGAGAAGTACAGCAGAAAGAGGGACAGATACAGTGGAGGGGGAGGGCTGATTCAGGACTTCAAGGAGAAAGACGGATATAAACCCGACGTCAAACTAGAATATGTGGATGATGGAGGGCACCTGCTGAATCAAAAGGAGGCCTTCAGGCAGCTGTCTCATAGGTTCCACGGAAAAGGCTCTGGCAAAAAGAAAACGGAAAAACGAACTAAAAAACTGCAGGAGGAACAGGTAATTACATATGGTTGTGGGAATTTTAATAAATTTGCATTAATATACATGTATGTGTAGTTGTGTACATAATACATGTACAGTAAATCAAGCTCATAACAGTGCCAAGGACAGACAATTTTGCTTCGTTGTAAGTGTAATTCTGTATATCCATTAAGTTTACAATATGTTTTAAAGTCTTCAGGAATGAATTCACTTCGCTGTAAGCATCAATTCATTATAAGCTTATTCACTATAAGCCTGTTTTACTGTACATACATTTTACTTGCATATGCTCATTAGTAAAATGATACTAACCAAATACATGTATCTTCTATTTGAGAAAAACGTTTTGCAAAAAATGACTTATACTAAATACATGTACTATAATAGTCAAACTTCATTATCTTGAACATGAGGAGACTCTTGAAATAAATTTGAGATATTTGATTGTTCCAAGTTCTCAAGTTGACACAAACTTAGTTGGGTCAGGTAGGACACTTTGGCATATCCCTGGTATTCCAAATAACATGCATCAATACTCAAGATACTAAATTTCAGCTGTATTTTAATTTCATTTCATCTGGCTTACAGTTGATGAAGCAAATGAGTTCCACAGACACACCCCTTGGTACACTGAACATGCTAAAGGATAAGCAGAGAACAGAGAAGTCACCTTACATAGTCCTGTCAGGCTCCAAAGGTTTTTCATCGTAAGTACATGCATCTTTACAAAGGAGAGTTGTACTCTGTTGCTTTTTAATTGTTTGCAAGTATATCTTACACATCTGCAGTCAAGAAAGAAGGGATTCAAAATTGTAGATGAAATACATGTACTGAAACTAATACTTTCAGGAGGAATGAATAACTCTATCCATTTTGAAAATTAGATATTAGAGGCTAGCTAATTTTCAACAAGCTTTGTACACATATTACCCGGTAATGCTGTTTTAGATTATATACCTGTATAGGATGGTTAATTTTGCCCCTGTCTTATTTTCTACCAAGATTGTCCTCAATCTAAGCAAACAGTGTTTAAAATGTATCAAATGTACCAAATTTAATCATTTTTGTATCTGTTAAGTAGCAATACCTTAATGGGGGTGTTTACCGCTGGATAGCTTGCATGTCAATAAGACAGGGCAACAATAACCCTATTTACTAAAACCCTGAGGAGAGTACTGTTGTTGAGCCCCTTTACATTGTTTATTTTCAGAAATTCCATCATTAAACCAAGCCAAACGTGAATCTATTGGAATATTGAGTGCATTTTCTAGACTGTGAATGCAGAAAATTTACATGAAGCAGATCGACATGACCCCAACTACAGACAGTAGGAATCCCTTGAGCAGTTTGCAATTTTATTGGCTCACTAAATCATTACATTTACATTGCATCATTCTGTAATATTTTATGGTCTTTGTTAGATTCAACAACTGTCAATAAAATCATGAAAACAGACTTAAGGCTTAATGATTTTTTTTTATATACATGTACAACGTGTATAATTATAAACTGATCTCCCATTGAACATTTGTTAGCTTGTAGATGCATGTCATCCATCAAGTTTAATGAAGAATGTGGACAGATTGGATAATTGAAATATTTTCACATGAAATGAATACTGGTACCAATTACTGTAGATCACTATATTTTTGCGACACCTTATTTTCGTGAGATTTGGTACTTATAAGCGAGACAAAATTTCTGGGAGCTGTGGCATCTGTTCTATATAATTCTTAACAATACAAATATATGCAAGAACAACATTTTCACAAGCAGACCAATTCACATAATAACGCAGAAATAAAGTTCTCTTAGAATAAAAAGTGATTTACAGAACAGAACTTTCTTTTCAAGAATTTAAGCAGGACAATGCAACTTTTAAACAGAAAGATGCTTATAAGCTGTTTCAGATTTTTTAAAATATATATTTTTATCTTTCCTTGTATATTGATTGTGAAAGATCATTAGATTCAAATAACTGGTAATAAAATTTTGATCTTTTAGGACTGGAAGATCTTTCATAGTATAACTATTATCTGATTGTGTATTTAGCGTCATTCACAACTGGCATCTTTTCACTTTCTGGTCACTCCGTAGTGCATAAACATTTCACATTTTATGATGGTAAATCCCCAATAACTTCCATCTTTCAAAACACTAGCTACTCTATCATTTAAGCAGTACAGATTTATTAAATATACATGGCAGTTTGCATACTAAAACAATATTCCTAGCATTTAATAATTCATTGGCTCTGCAACACTTTCCATATTAGAGATTTATGCTTTCATAATATGGCAGGTTATAAGGTAATAAGATTTTAACAAACAGCTTTTTCACGCACAAAAAATTCGGAGTAAAAAAAGCAGTTTTCTTAAGACACAATGCTTTAGGTTAATGAAAAGAAAAGGTAGATGACATTTCTTTCATTTTTATTAACAATGTTGAAATTTTCAATAAAAATTAAAAAATACATGTATATAAAAGTATTCATTGTACAGTATGTCAAACTGCAATAGAAATAAAATTGGTGACAAATCAGATATGAGCACTGTTCATTTCACAATGTTTTACTTCTTTGATTAACAAGTGCAGATTAAACAATGTCATTTAACAGTAAAATAATGTAAAAGAGGAATTTTGAATCCTTCTCAATTTTTTCCACTTTGAACACATATTAAAACAGTTCAAGGATTATAATCAGCTCAATCATCCTTAATGCTCAGAGAGTGTTCCTCTAAACAGAATAAAACCGCTAAAATTCAGGCTTCCACACAATACTGAGAGGTCAATTCACTGTAAACACTTGGATTCACTACTGGATTAATGCACTTAAAAACTGGCTTATCCTGAGCCTATTCCAAATGATTCTGAGAATTCAGTATTAATGTTGGGTCCATTCACAGAAAAGTGAGATTTTCATTTTGCAAATGCATCTGGAGGAATCTTATTTTGTTTCTAAAATGAAGAAATGAAACTTCTTTATAAACCATAAATCCACAAATACAAGGTACATCCCGTTATACTGTAAACGTACTTAATTTAGGGCTATTCCAGGAAAAACTGTATGGGGGGGTTGGAAGGCACTTTTATTTTTACCCCACCACCCATACATTTTTAATTACCTTCTACCCCACCACCCATCAATTTAAAATTGCGTTTGATACAACCACTCATCTAAATTAAAAAAAAAAATTGTGTCACATATATATAAGCAATAAAATTTTATGTACCTTTTTCAGGTACTGTAATTTATCTGACTTCGAATGAGTGTTGGGTTTTGACATCTATCCAACCAAGGCCCGTTTTACAAAAGAACTTATGACTAAAATCAAAATGTTATTATGCAGATAATTTTTTTTGGCATTACTTTAAAAATGTTTTAAATCTTTTTGAAAAAAAAAATAGTTTTATGTCAACAATTTTTAACAGAAACATAAGTTTTGTAAGATTGGGGGGGGGGGGGGACTAAACTTCTGTAGGCAGTGTCTGTGAAGTGAAAACTTTGATTAAAAAAATATATTTAATGAATTCTAAATCCCATCTAACAACTTAGACCATTGGTGCATACAAGTTCGACAAGTTAACACTTAACAGGTTAACATGGTTAAGGACTGGCATGTTTTTGACATAATATACTTCATTTTGTTTTCAACCTCATCTTCCTTTTACTCTGTATGTGGTATAAAGTAAAATATTTGACTTGCAAACTCCGTAGTCATGCTCTAAAACGTTCATTATCAGAAACGATTTTTTTTTCTACTTTCGGTTTAAAATAAAACGATCTTTCTGATTGTTTCTAATATCATTTAATTTACCAATGTAATCATGTTTGATTAAACCGGCGAAAAGAAACTGGACCAGGGAATCCAACGCACAACTAATCCGTTTTCCAATCACCCACTGTCATTGCAGTCACAGTTGCACATGCTTTTATAGTTATCTGCCCTTGTTTCCGTTTCGTTCGATTCTACTTTCACTTTCAATGTAAACACACTTTACAACTGTTTAGGACGAAAATATCAGTATTTACCGATTTATACAATATGAGAGGAAAGAAGTACTTTGCACTTGATTATTTGTGAGGGTTAATACAACCACCCATCTAAAAATATATCGAGTAAGGACAACCACCCATACAAATTCAATTGCTCCAGACCCACTACCCATACAAAAATATATGAAGTGCCGTCCAACCCTCCCGTACATTTTTTGCTGGAATAGCCCTTAGCAATAATCACGTTTTAACACCTTTCACGCTGCTTCTTGTCTGATAATTCATGATTCAAACCAAAACATGGCGTTTTGCAAGAATCAAGAGACTAAATAATGATTGTGCTAAATTTTGAGTGTTCTAATTTATGTATGTTTCCAGTATTTGAAAAGGCTTATTTATGGGGGTTCTTCCCATAGCATACACTTTTTTTTCCAACAAGATTAATGAAACATGTAGGAATCAAAATCAATTACTACTTAACTGGCGTGATTACACACAAATATTATATTGATATGTGTACCTGCAATTCCAAGAATATTTCTCCCGATTTCTCATAATTCCATCCATTTTGTTCCAGGCATCTGCAAGTAAAATTGCAATAAAATTTTGTTTTGTAATGTAACATATGAAAATATGGGACACAATCTATTCTCTAACATGGTTACAGGTAATTCTCATTTATAACAACATTCTTAATAACAAAATCTTATTTTTTATCAAAATGTAAAAGCTGCTGAAATGCTCACCAAATATAAGAAAACATGAAAATGGGAAGTGCTTTTGCACATACAGATGTGTTTTATTGAATATTTATTACACAACTTACTTGATGGACCATTCATGGTTCATGCCTGACTGAGCTGCAAACTGTTGAATCATCTGCTGCTGCTCAGCTGTGTATGTGGAGGGGCCAGCCTGAGTGAATGGTGCTGGGGGAGATGCCTCTGGGACAGGGCTAGAAGAGGGGGTAGGGGCAGGGTGCTTAAAGGCTTTCTGCAAACACAGACAAACAGAATTGAAGATAAAGTTATACAAGTAGGTAAAGCAGCATTTTTCAAAACAGTTGTATAGATTTTGTGCTCTTACTTTATCCAATGTACTGTTTACATCTTATACACCTGCATGTATTTATGTTCATTCATGAATTCTGATGAACAACATGTAGTACGTCAAGTATCCTGAAGGTGAAATAAGCAATACCTGTATTTGATCTCTGGAGGCATTTGTTATTGTCAGCATGTCATTGATGATATTCATTCTGAGAGAGGGAAAAAATATGAGAAAAGTTTTATAACAGAGAAGTTACAAACTCATATAGCATGCAACAGTATGTTCATATCAATAGTCTTAGACCTTTCCACCTTTGACTGATTCAAATTCTTTTGGATGTTTTACTTTTTAATGGTATCCTCTGTCTTTGTAGCAAGAATGCTCATGAATTAAGTTTTAAAAACAAATTTCAAAATGTATATAAAAATGCTTTAAATTGATTTCACCAAAATTGCCAAAATATGATTCCCATTAATGTATGTAAAAATACAGTAATTATTCCCACTAATATATGCACAATTTCAGTAATTATTCCCACATGTACAATTTCAGTAATTGTTGCCATTGATATATGTACAATTTCAGAAATTGTTTCATTCTTACAAACTTCAGACAGAAGTGTCATCTACTTTCAATGTGACCATAATAATCCATACATACCCTGCTCCCTGTGGAACTGTAACAAACCGACGACTAAATGCTCTTATGGGAGGTCTATCTGACTTGCTTTCAGCTAATAGAAAAAAACAAAACAAAACTAGAATTTAATTTTAAACTTTAAACTCTAACTTCGTCATCTATTACAATTAATGATATGCGTATCTGAATCTAAATTCAATTCAAAAGTAAGTATTCCTGAACACATAAGAACTTACTCTCTTTAAACACTCCTTCTACGACAAAACTTCTGAGACTGGCCTGTAATGATAATATTTCACAATGAAGTACGTTTATCATGTATTCTATGTCTGTAAGAGTAGCAGCAAGTCAAATAAATTTGATTCCCATCTTAGTGTGTTGATGGGATGTACATGCAGGATTTACTTTGTCAATGAAAGGTCCTCAGCCTTTCTCCTACAAGGACTGAGGAAGGTATGTTTTAATCTGATGAACATACGATACCCTCAGTATAATTTCCTTCAACACTTGCTTCAAATGTGTTTAAAATGTACTTCAATAACAATAACAAAACACAAACTATGTGCCATCAAGAGTAATATCTAAACCATGACTAAGACTTACAGAAGAGTGATCCACATCAACAATGAAGGAGTTGTAGTCGTGTGTCGTAGAGGGAAGATCACACAACTGTGCCACCACATTTATTTTCCCTCTCTTTAATAATCTTCTTCTTGCTGAAAAAAAGAGAGATGGGTTACAACAACATGTACATATAGGTTCTGGATGGGATTCATGAAAAGATCAGAATTTACAATCTTATGCAGCCCAGGTGAGAAGCAGAATAGGTATCTGAGAAAGCATTACTTCCATTTATTGTTTGTTTGTTTGTTGTTTTTTTAATAAATATGTTGGGGGAAAAACTTTTTTTTTCATCTCAATCAAACACTAACAATTCACGCATGAAAGTATACGTGTCAATATTTCAGTATCAATTTTAAGAAGTCCAGTATCTCTGACCTTGACTATCTTTGCTCATCTTTGTAAAGTTTCTGCTTTCTTGAAGATAATTATTTATGTTTGGTTGTCTGAAAAAATAATAGCGATATATTGAATATAGGCAACAGTTACAAGCTTACGTAGGTTTGGGTTTTAAAAACTTGCTTTCAAGATGATGTGATTGTTAGAAAACAAAGCTACAATCAAGCTTCTGTATGTCAAGTAATCTTTAAATTAAAAACAGTTGCATATGCACTTCACTGCAAAAAAAAAAAAAGGAAAAAATATAATTTCCCAAGCTTAAGATTACACCATTTCCTTCCTTTAAAACAGTAATTGATAAAACTTACGAATACTCTATATTTGGATTTTTGGCCGCAGACAAGGAAAAGAGTGCCTGTAATGAAACATATCATAAAATTAAATCTATTATTATTCTGTGTATCATTTTTTGATTTCGATGAGTGGTGTTGCCCTCTAGTTTCTATAAATAAAATCCTTGCTTTGATTTACTTGGGAATACAAGTATTAAATGGGATTTCCCAACATATATTCAAAGATACAAACTTCATCATGATAAGCCTCCATTAATGGTTGCCTGTTGTCTGAATCATAAATTGTGAAGAAAGCCTTCAGAAAATTCACTGTTGAGCTCTGTATTTCATCATTGATGAAAAAGCTTCCCTGAAAATATGAAATTTTCCATAAACTCTTGGAATTAAGTCATTTTCTTTAGTGACTGCATATACATGTATGTAGATACCAGTTCCGATTCACTTTTTGTGAGTGTGTTTTTTTTTTTAGTTTATATAAAAATGTTCACGCCATAAAAAGATGATACAGTCAAACCTTGTTATCTCAAACTTGATGGGACTGAGATATTACTTCAAGATATCAAAGGATTCAAAATATCCTGGATAAAATACTTAAGAAATAAGCGCTTGGGACTTCAAAATCACTTTGACATATCCATGGTATTTGAGATATCAGTGTTTGAGATACCAAAGTTCAACTGTATATCATGTGTACATAAATAGTGTGCATGTTCAACAAACTGACCTTCACTTCAGGGAGTTCAGAACTAGTCTCAAGGTCAAAGACAATAGGTGGTGGCAGTGTGTGGCCATCCTACAAGAGTGATGATCAAAAAGAGTAAATAACCTAATTAAAATTTTAATCATCGTGTGATTCTCGGAACTATATCTAAAATGAAGCCATTTCAAATGTGTTTCAAGTTTTATTATCTTTTAAGTAATTTCAAAACAACACTTAATGAATTAAATACCATGCATGCTGTTTGTAATCAACATCTGCACTTACCAATGTCAAAACTTTTGGAAACTTCTTTCTAATGGCACTAAAATGAATAAATTTCATACAGAACTTGACAATTTTTTTTAAAAGCTTGAATCTTTTTTATGCATAGCAAAACCTTTGTTTTTTTTTAATATGTGTACCTTGTAGAAGTTGGTAAAATTAGTTACCATGTGTTTAAAGAATTCTCAATTCAGTTTTAATTTTTATCAAATGACTTGCCATACTATGAACAAATATTTCCTTCAATTTTGAATAAATATTAATCATTTTCAAATTCAAATTACAAAGTTATCTGGCATTTGACAAATTTTTTGTTTTTCTTTTCATTATGGGGTGACAGACCATCTTCCCTTTCTACTATAAACCAATGTCAAGGGGGGGGGGGGGGGGGGGGTAAATGATAAGGTTTTCTATGTAACATAATTAAAAAGTGGAAACTGAACAACCATAACATAGTATGTGTGTTATATTTCAATACATGATATCTTTCTTTCTGATAAGGCTTTCCTTTATCCCACATGTTGACATCTGCACAAAGTGATGATTTTTTGTGCAATTTCATTTTCTGGTGTATTTTTTTCTCAAATTTTCGATTTTTTATATGTTTTTTTTTTCTATTAAAATGCCTTATACATTTACTTTGATAAAATACTATATAAAAAGAATAAAGCTTTTGTGCTTTAGTAATGAATTCCTTCAATGAAATTTAATTTTTAAGGTAAAAAAAAAAGACAAAAAGAAAAAAGAAAAAGAAACTCAAGTTTAAAATTCTTTTCGCATTGTTTCTCTTCTTTAGATATATTATTGGATTTTTCTGAATGTTTTCACAACAACTATATATTGGGTCATGACAACAATTGAAAGCTTTTGATTAACAACATTTCATGCAATGATAAATCACAGCATCACATCACTTTCAGAAGTGCCAGTTGCCCCTGTTTTAGGTAGTCCCCCCTTAAGAGGAGGGGATCGTACCCGTCCTTGGGAACAGACTGCGTCACTTCTCAATGGATGCCTATGACAGAATTCTGCCTTGTGATTCGAGCTCAGCGACAGCAGGCTCACTCAACATCAAGACATCATTGTCATTAGATTATAAGCTTATGCACACAAACTGTAATTCTATGTGCAGTACACTGATCTTAGTGCCATGGTGATTTCAGGTATTCTGTCATACAGTTTTCATGGTATTGTTCTCTAGCATAACATGTGGAAGAAAATATTGATCTATTATATCCAACAGTTACATTTCTATGGACAATTTCAAGAAATTTTTGGTCATCTATCAAATGACAGAAAGCTTTGTAAATATTAACCCCATTACTTCTTTCATCGCTTATTTCTCTAATAACGATAAGTATGGCATGTCATTCTGATCAAAGACACATCTTAATAATCCCAATATGGCAGATTTTTTTCCCTCTTGAATTCCTATCACCCACATGCTCCAATCAATTAATGAAAGCAGCACACATCGGTGAAGGAAATCTTCCAGTACAGACATTGCTGATGAAATGGAAGATAAGAAACTTCTTTTGCTCCACACAATCAGCTTCAGTCTTCCCTGGAGGAGAAGACCTTGTTTACCGTCATTACCTAATGTAGGAAGTTTGATCTTTGAACTTATCACATAGGTCATTTCCTTCCAGTATCAGATGTTCAAGCTTCCAATCTTGTATCTTCCGCAGTTCATCAACGTGGACCAACTGCAAGCAAGAGGAACAAAAAAATAATCAATTATGCCAGAACAGAAATCATGGACAGACAATTATGATTTTCTGATTGTCAAAAAACAAGTACATGTAAAATTGACAGTGGGCAAGTAAAAATAAAAGTTATTGTCTAACCCTCTGATGCATCAAAACTCATTTGGCATTTTGTAAAGAAACTTTCCTTACAGGAACTCACCTTGTTTTTTCCAAGATTTAATTTTTTGACATTGGGTGCTTTCTTTGGCAATTCTTTCATGCTCTCCAGTGATATCAACCTATTATCACTGATGTCTAGTTCTTCCAACTGTGAAAAAGAAATGTGCTGTAGATGATGGAGAACTTTAAAAAAAAATCTTTTTTTTTTGTTCTTTTTATTTTTTTTTTTACAGAATTGTGAAATAAAAATATCATGAAACAGATATTTACAATTATGATCCAAACACATCTAATAGATAACATAAGTTTGTACCTCTGGAATGTTTTCTTCTATGACCTTTACAACGCTATTCATTACACTTCTTCTGCTTAGTGCCATGAATATATTTTCAGCTGCTAATGCTACAAAGTAATCAAAAATCTAATTACATATGTATTCTTAATTTAACAGTATTCTAATCACAAACCGTAAAAGACTATCTCCTTGAAATCAAATTTAGATTTCTAAAGAGTTTGAAGAGAGCTTAAATTTAAAAAGTATATTTGTGCCAACAAATTCTATTACACTATCCTTGAACAGTGAAGCAATCTTTGAGAAACATTTCTCTTTCAAAGCTTACATTGGTCCTTGGCCAAGCAACTGAGGTTGAGCGATTTGGTAGAGGGGTCAAATCTAGAACTCATGCACACCTACAAAAGACAGGAATATTTCTGAAAACATTTCATTGATAAACTAATGTGCAAGTGTCCTCAAAAGTAACTTTACTTTCATTTTATACATGTTTTAAGTGAAAATCCTACTTTCAGTTTCTCCACTGCTTCACTACTGATCTCTGTGATGGGTGGGGGGCTGGGTTTTACAATCAGAATCATCTGAAAAAGACAAAAAATGCTTTCACATCTAAATAATTTCTTTAAAGTGCATCATCTCAGGAGTGAGACAGTTTTTGTATGGCTGTTGTTTGTATTCTGACATAAACCTTACTGGTGCAAGAAAAAATATCTTTGATAATTTCTTAGCACTTACCAAATTATTGAAAGTATCTGATAAATGTTATAGATACCTGTATATGTACCTACCAATTCAAGGAGAGTATATTTGATAAATATGAGAGAGAAAGTGTGTGTTTCGTTTGTATACATACTGTATTATATTATGGTAAGATTTTCATCCATCATTATCTGACAAGATTTTTAAAGATTTATGAATATTTAAAAATTTACTGAAAATATTCCATGTCTTTAGGTCTCATAATTGTTCTTTGTTTAAACTTTGTAGTTTCTGTGTTCATAGTTTAGGGTTTGGGGTAATACATAAATTCTGAGAAAAAGAAGTAAAGCTCATTCTTGAAATATTTTCTCTGTGACAGAAAATTGCTTTATATTTTTTTTCCCAAAGGAAAACTATCAAATTTTATTGAAAAAGTCAAAATTTTATTTTTTTAAAATTCAAAATCTTATTCAAAAAGTTGAGTTGCATGCAATAACTACATGTGTACATTCCTCAATGAAAAATTCAGAACTCTAAAAAAAAAAAAAAAACCAACAATAACACACACACTAAACGAAAAAATTACCTTAAAACCATTGGGTAATTGTATTTTCTTGTCCTGACTTCTTAGCGCATTGGCTTCATGTTTTTCTTGCACATAAAATATTGCTTTTTCTTGTTCAAAGTGGAACTATTTAAAGAAAATATTTGATGATATGCATGTACAAGTAATAGTATATTGATACACCATTTTATGTTTCATGTTAAATATTACATGGTCCACTAGAGAAAATACAAATCCAGATTCAAACAAGAGATCATAAAATATTTTCTTGGATAATTTCCCACATTAAATTTATTCTTTGGTTGAACATTAATTTTATTTAATACATTGTAGTCTTGATGTGCTTGAGAAGTCTTTTAACACTTTTCTGTATTCACAATTCAAGAATCCCTGTTGTTATCTCGCCCTAGCTCTGGTTCTATGCAAAGATATACCTTTACACGTTTTTTGGTCATTTCTGAACTACGAATTCTTGAAAGTATTTCTAAAATAATCACACCTGATCCTCATAAGAAAGTTGCTTAAGTAAACATGAATTCCATTACATAAGATGCTTATGGCCAAGTTTTGTCAAAAATGGCCCTCTAGTTCTTGAGAAAAAGACTACAATGTAAAGATTAATGAACAAGAAACATATGATGAATACAAATCTCTTCTAAGCCCAAGTGAGTGATAAGATTAAGCCTTGATAAGCTTTTTAAAGATAATATCATGAAGGTAGCTTACATTGACAGGGTTGAAGGGTGTGTGCAGCCTCTCTGACAGAGATTTCAGTATGAAGTCTTTTCCACCTTTTTTGCCATATGGTATCTGAAATGAAAAAATGATATTAAAAGCACAATTTTCATTCTCCAAGTATAATATACGTTTTTCAATTATCACTGACTAGCCAAACTTACCACCACTTTGTGCCATACAGGCCCATCAGAGTCTGTGATTGGAATTCCCATTCTCTGCATCTTAGCATAGTTATCACCTGTGACAAGATTTCAAAAAAAAAATATAATATATATATATATATACACACACATATATATATATATATATATATATATATATATATATATATATATATATAAAACTGTACATACCTCTACAGATTTATGACAGTGCAACTTGTTCAGTTCAATAAGCTAACATGAAGCAATAATTTATGTGACCTACCGTTTTTATTCCTTCCTCTTCCTGAATAATTTCTACTTGGTACACCATAAGGTGAGCTACAAAGATTAATCAATTCAGAAAGGTAAATGAAAAGTACAGGAAAATGAACAAATTCACCAGCTCAATCTTTTCTCTATTACATAGCATGCACATATCTCAAGTCCAAGTACTTTTTTCTTTATTGTTCATGTAACAATTTTTTGCAAAAAAAAAAAAAAAAAGAAAGAAATAATTTTGACATTGTTTACAATTTCTAATGCATATTATTATATTTTTTGTCTCCATGTTTGGTTTTCAAAATATTTTTTTGTTTTCTCTGCAAGAAATAATTCATTTGGGGAAGTCAAAATTCATCAAGCATAATGAACTTTTTTGCTTACAATCTTTCCCTAGAGGAGGGTCCTGCCTCGTCATCCATACTGAAGTCACCATCTGTGTCTAAACGACTTCTGGGATTAGGTCCACCTCTTCCTCTTCCCCTTGGTCTACCATATCCACCACCACCACCACCACCTTAAAACAAAAGGAAAGTAACATTTTATCCATAAGTCTTTTATACCTTAGTCTAACACTTACAAATAGTGTATTACATCTAGTTTATTATAAGTTTTATAAAGGTCAGTAGGAAATAACTGAGTGATTGTAAGGACTTGAGTTTTCTGATGAGTTGACCTAAAAAATGTATTTCAGATTTCAGACACAGATATGAAAATTCAATAATTTAGGTGTAGAAATTTCCAGAGAGAAAAACCCCCCAGATCTTCGCAACAGTTTGAAGTCTTGAAATTTCTACAAGCCGTATTGTTTACTTTTTTGAAATCTCTCATGGTTTAAATCATGTAAATCTCTAAAATTATAAGGATAATGAAGTAAAACTTTTTGATTCATATTCATTATTTTATTTACATTTGTTTATATCAACCAATTACTTGGAATGTTATATTTTCATTAGTTTTTTTTTTGTATCTTATACAATAAATGGAAATTGATAAAGCAACAGATGACATGTGGTCAGCAATATTTCTAACTTTTTGCCAACTTTCATTCATTTATAAATACCTCTTTAACTTGACTAGTTTGCTTTTGTTAATAAATGTTAAGTTTTAAAACTTTAAAAATCATGTATCCATATATTATAGAATTAATATATAAAATCAAGTTTTGATCAAACTAAAAAATGCATTTAAGAGTAATTTTAAGTACAATGCAGGGCCCAAAGTATAATATAGCAAATAAAGATGTTAATGGCTGAGTTGTGATCTCTGTTAGTTACATAATTTATGTATTTCAGACAACTCAAGATTCTTCGATTCATTAATTTTAAGATGAGAAGTCAAGTAGTAGGCATAAGTCTACGGGTAGATACAAGCAATAATTCCTGTTTATAAACCGCAAACAATTACAATATACCTCTCTTTTGGAATCCCCCACGGTTGTAACTCCCTCCCCGGTTTCCACCATAACCTCCATATCCTCTGTTACCTCTGCCACGGTATCTCTGTTTTCCACCACCACGGCTGCCCCCAGAATCAGACCATCTGTCATCATGTTCTGCATAAATAATTATTATAAACAGAGAGAAGAACTCAAAAACAGAAAAACATATGGTCAACTTTTCCCTTTATTGTAATTAGTACTTTACAGTACACAAGAAAGACATCCTTTACACAGATTGGGCACATTCTTGTCATCCCATGGAACTGTATTTGTGGGAGATTTCCATTTACTGATATCAATACCAAAATAAATATTTTTTTTATTAAAAAAAAAACACCTCCACAATTTGCAAAAGCCCCCCATGTGGGGTAGTGTATCTGCTCTAGAGTTTGTGGAGTAAGGAGTTGATCCTTATGTCACGAGTTCGAATCCCTCTGCAAGACATGGAGACTGGTATTTTGTATGAGACCGTATAGACCGAGGTCCTGTGTCGCAGTAAGTGCTGCGATCCCTCACTGCTCAATGGCCCTGAGTGCTGAGTATAGGTCTAAATTTGCAGCCCTCCACCGACAAGTGGTGGCGTTGCTATTAGTGAAAAATTCTTAAGAGGGACGTTAAACAACAAACAAACAATTTGTAAAATGAGACAGAACGTCAAGGTTGTTTGTGTACCTTCAAAAACTAACCGAAATATTTCAGTAATACCAACACTCTTTTTCCTATGTACTGCTTCTAGTTATAACATTGATGCCACAAAACGGTCCCAGGTCAGGCCTGTTCAGCTGTTATGGTCGAACAAATCTTTTGCAAACGTGATTGTTACTAGTATGCAAGTGATTATCCACATGCGCAGATAAAATTGCGCACCCTAATCTATATCTTTCTTAATTTCATTGGAAGAAAGTACTACTTTAAACAAAAAGGTCAATACCACCAAAAGAACGACTGCCATCTCTACCAGTTGTTACAGAAAAATTGGACATTGCTTCTCCTCTGACCAAAGGCGTTGTTTACGTCATCAATATTTGCGATCGTAGTTGCTAATTTTCAGAATAAAATCTGGCATGTTCCGGAAACGCAAGAGTCATGTTTATAAGTAAACTAACGGTTAAAATAAATCATAATCGTGTTTTTCCCCAAACAATCGTATTTATTTTAAAAAAAATTGCCATTGAAACATTTTATTTAATTCTTTTAGATATAAAAGACAATAAATACGATAAATTGCATTTGAATTTTATTTTAGAGAGCTTTAATTTCTTACCGTTTAATAAGTACTGTCATAGGCACTCCCCAGCTTAATTGTTAAAAATGTATATCTACTATACTATAAACATGATTATAGTATAGTAGATATACATTTTTTAACAATTAAGCTGGGGAGTGCCTATGTACCCAGGCGCGGATCCGGGAATTTTTTCCAGGAGGGGGGGGGGGCACAACAGTCAAAAAAATTTCCAAACTAAAAATTTCTTGACAAGCAAATAAATAATAAATAAATAAATGAATTTAAATTTAAAAAAAAAAATAAATTCCCTTAAAAAAACAAAAACAAAACGTAAAATCCATTTCAACACCTATTTTGTGGTAGTGATCATCAGATGGTGGGGTCCATGTTTTCCAGGGGGGTACAAAGTCATTTTTTATTTCATCATTTGCTTTAGTATATACTTTTAATAACTCTGCAAATTCCAGGGGGGGGGGGCGACCCCCGCAAACCCCCTCTAGATCCGCGCATGGTACCAAAACTGTAGTTGTGTAGCAGAACGCTGTTTAAGTTCGCAATCCGGATTTTTACGTTATCATTCTAAGTGATACTGTAAAGAAAAAAGTGAAAGATAACCCGGATTAAGTAACCATGACATCACACGAGTTGGGAACCGCGGAGGCTTCGGACGCATAGAAGGAACAAGAGAGTAAAACATGGATATTCATAGGAATAATGCTAACGAACAGGTATTGCAATTTTAATTTCTTTTACAGTTATGTCTGTCAAATTTTTAAAACACTTTTTTTACCCCCCCCCTTTCCCTAAAAAGAAAACATAAGGCTCTCCAAGGCTTAAAATTGAAACTGGTATCGTGGAGGGTCATAAATCAGTGGGATATACCTAAATCAGTGGCATTTCCTTTTGAGCTGGTGATTTTTCTTATATTGGGAGAACTGACTTTATCAGTATATGAATAATATTAGGTAACATAATAGCTTATAATATGTGATATAAAAGTAAAAATATCTCTAAGATTTTTTTAGATACGGTAGTGTTTGATTAACTTTGAAACGTACTCAATTTTTGAAAGATAAAAAAATTAAGATTGAAATTACCAATTAAATTTGAATTTGTTGAGATTATGCAATCAAAAACAAAATGTTAACAAAAGTTTAACATCTGTACAGAAAAGTTAAGCAACTGTCAAAAGAAATGTAAAATTTTAGGGGACTCCAAAAAGTTCATGTCTGTTATATAATCTATGTGTATATTTTTAAAGGCTAGATGTATTTAAATAGTAAATAAAGAAACTGGGGGGATAAGCCGAGCCATATGCCTACATAACGATCGATAAAAAATCAAAAAATTCAATTTACAAAAATTTCACTTTTTGTTGAATTAACGTAATGCTTATTACCATTTGCATACATATTTGACAAAACCTGAATACTGTAACAGCGAAAATGATTCTGATTAACACAAAAAATGGCATCACGCTCAATTTTCACAGAAACTGACATAAATTGGATGATATAACTACATTTTTTAAATAGAGTGGGTCATCGTACCATTTTTTTGAGAACGATTAATGAAAGGCAATGGAAAGATGTTGCATTTTACACTTGCAAAAATTTGGTATGAAGACCCACTCTACATAAAAAACTAAGTTAACTTACTTAAATTTTCACCGTGGTCTTAAAAAATTCTAAGTCCAAAAACGCTTGCTAAATATAGAGAACTGTATGCTATTTAAAAAGACATACCGGTATAAGTGTGACTCCGTGATCTAGTGGTTAGCGAGGAGCTCTTTAAAGGGACGTTTATTGAGGAAAGTGTTCGAGTCATGCTCTGATTTTTTTATTTTTTTTTTTTTTTTTTTTTGGTTTTAATTTTGTTTTACTTTATAAAAATGTCTATAGGAATAACATATTTTTCACTGGAAATAAAATATATACATGTAGTAATGAACTTATTTACAGTAAATTATTTAAAATGCCGGTTAAAAATTATAATAGATATTTGAATACTTTTATTCCCGTTTTTATTTATTTTAAATAAAAGCGCTTCTAGATCACCATTATCATTATATACGATGTTAACATTTTTATAATATCTCCACAATAAGTGTAAACACTCAATATGCAGATTAATTAATAGAAGTCCTTACCCATGTTGGACATTTGTGACAGTAAATGAAAGTCAACTGTTTAGCTTGTTTAGAATATAAATATCATTTTGAAAACTACGGTAAACATTAAAATTCGAACAATTGAGAGATTTTTTCCAATAAATGTTCTTGCATAGCCGAAAAATGGGCATGGGCACATGGCTCGTCTTATCCCCCCAGATTCTTTACAATAAATACATATAAACTGTAAAATATTTTAAATCAACTGGAAAAGGTTAAAATGAGAACTCAGTTTAACTGTAATCATGATTTTTGCCCAAAGTTGGTGTTGTCATGTGAGTCCAGTTTGGCTGGGTAACCACTGGACCCATGGCAACTTTACTTCAAAAAGAATTTTCAGATATGATGGACATTTTATTTATCACTTTCAATATAAACTAAAACATATATAACTGTTAAAAACATTCTGTAAACTGGTAAATCTATTGCTGGGTTCATTTCCATAATTTCTAAATCATTTGTTTGTTTGGTGCTGAACTTATGAACTTCAAGGTAGAAACTTTTGAAAAGCATCATACCACTGATTTAGGTACCTCATCTATTTGCATGTGCCTAAAAACAGAATGTCATATATTTTGAGAAAAAAATATCTATTGGATATTATTTGACCAAAATTTTGTTAATATTTAAATAAATTATAGGAACCTTTAAAGTAAAACTGCATTAATTTCCTATTCAATTGTACTTCATTGTTAGGAAAATTTTGTATATTGAATGCTTATTGCCACTGGAATAGGTTCCTCGGGGATAGATACTAGTATATTGGACTAGAAAGAGATGAAAGAATATGTGAAAATTGTAATTTGAATATAGTGAAAAATAAAATACATTTTATTATAGATTTTCCTTTCTACAAAGAAAAAAGAGTCAAACTTCTAAATAAAGCACAGAAACATAATAAAAATTTTAATAGCTAAGGTAGTTCTCAAAAATATTTTTGGATCATTACATGTAAAAATATTAATGTCTTACTTCAGCTTGGAAACTACCTCTCTAATAATTTAATATAACATTGTGTAAAGCACAACAACTTGCTATGTACTAGTATGTATTTTACTTTTACACAATTTTTATCTCCTTATTGATTACTGCCTTTGTCTACTAATGTATCGTTCATGCCTCTCGGGGGGCCCTTGATTGGAAATAAACTATTTTCTATTGTCATAAAAACTCAAACAAAAAGAACTGTTTTTGTTTATGTCTATTGAAACAAAATTTTCGATAAATTATCTTGTTAATCCTGTCTGAGCCTATCATTTCTTGGGAAAGAAAACATTGATTTCCTAAACTGACTTTTTTTGAGATTTAAAAAAAAAATGTTAAAAACATGTTAATTTTTCTCACCATTAGGTTAAAAAAGGAAGAATGTATCAACAGGCATGAGTTTCTCGTATCATCTATGAGATATCTGGGTGAGTAGAACTATCAAAATGCAAGTAAAAATGCTATGTTAATTGTATACAATAAGGAGGAAAAACTGAGTTTATTTACAGAATTAAATATTTTTTAACCTTACATTCTATCACATCAAAATTCATAAATCAGTTGAAAAATATGAATTTCTTATTTTATGACACTTGTAAAAAGCTCATACAGTGTACATCCACATTTCAAATAAGCCCAAACATTCATGAAATTTGTTGAACTAAAATAAATCAGATAGATTTCATAACCTTTTGATACAAGACTTGCCATGGTAGGTTCTCAGAATGGAAAACCAGGAAATCTTCATTACAGCTTTAAAAACTAAAGAACTTTCATAATTCTTCTTGGAGTGAAACACCAGGCAGTCTTTATGGCCACACATTCAAAACTTTGCTCACACTTCCTGAGACTTGTCGGAGTGAAAAACCATGCAGGCAGTCTTCATGGCCACACATTTTAAACTTAGTTCATACTTCATGAGACTTGTCGGAGTGAAAAACCAGGCAGTTTTCATGGCCACCCATTTCAAACTTAGCTCACACTTCATGAGACTTGTCGGAGTGAAAACTAGGCAGTCTTCACTTTTCATGGTCACCCATTTTAAACTTAGTTCACACTTAATGAGATTGTCGGAGTGAAAAACCAGGCAGTCTTCATGACCACACATTTCAAACTTAGCTCACACTTCATGAGACTTGTCGGAGTGAAAAACCAGGCAGTCTTCATGGCCACCCATTTTAAACTTACCTCACACTTCATGAGACTTGTCGGAGTGAAAAACCAGGCAGTCTTCATGGCCACACATTTTAAACTTAGCTCACACTTCATGAGACTTGTCGGAGTGAAAAACCAGGCAGTCTTTATGGTCACACATTTTAAACTTAGCTCACACTACATGAGACTTGTCGGAGTGAAAACCAGGCCATCAAGTTAAACTTAGCTCACACTTCATGAGATTGTCGGAGTGAAAACCCAGGCAGTCTTCATGGCCACACATTTTAAACTTAGCTCACACTTCCTGAGACTTGTCGGAGTGAAAAACCAGGCAGTCTTCATGGCCACACATTTCAAACTTAGCTCACACTTCATGAGACTTGTCGGAGTGAAAAACCAGGCAGTCTTCATGGTCACACATTTTAAACTTAGATCACACTTCATGAGACTTGTCGGAGTGAAAAACCAGGCAATCTTCATGGCCACCCATTTCAAACATAGCTCACAC